CCTCTGCAAAACAAACGGTAGTAGTATATTTCTTACTTCCAGTTAATAAGGACATACGCGTCTGCTGCCTAGGTCTACGAGTTTACTGCAATAGCGTCGGCATTACAAGTGTGACAGAATAAATTGCTGCGCTTGATGACAAATGCGCCATGGTTTGTGGGGAATGCAGCCCTTCACCAGTAACCATCAGTTGGGCCCTTTAGACGTCGTCTTCAACGTAATGCCAACGTCCTTTACGACAGGCTAGCCAAGCACACTAATCGCCTGCTGGCGAGTGACCTTATTTACAAGCCATGGGTGAGGAGCCATTCGTGATGCGCGTAAGCGCGAGTCCTTAATGTCAAGAAAGTAGTGACACCGTGAAAGCTATTTGTGTTATATTTGAGATCACTCCTGTTTGAGAGCTCGAGCATTCGGAGTTTTTTAACTCGATCGAGCCTAGGCACCGTCGTTAATAAAAATTAGTTTACTTGCAATTTTTTGCACTGCTTATTTATCTCCTTTAAAAAGTTTTCGTTACTAATGGTTGCAGCATAACTTTTCCAAATGATTTACGCACAGTATCGAGTCTTAGTTCTTCGTTTAGGGTGCTACGCCTATTATTTGCCATCCTCGATCCCGCTGCCCATACTCAGACGCAAAACCGTGCATCTTAGCCTCTTAACGACTACCTCATAGTTTTAAAGATAAGAAAAAGTAAGTAGACCTAAATTTGGCAACCTTTTCAGGATAACTTCTGTGCTAAAAACAGAAACTCTATTAGCCCAGGAGTGGTTATAGTTAGTAGCTAAATTATCTCACGTTTAAAAGAATTGCAAAAGATTGGTTTATAGTACAGATTAAAGAAGCTAAGTACCCCAGCATATAATAAAAATAAACATAATGAAACATTTCAACTTAATTACACTTTAAAAAAATGATCAAAAAAATTCTGTCGGCGTTTAGTACAGTAGGTAAACGGAGTAGAAAGAGTATATAGTTTATTTTAAACAAAGAACAGATTAATTAATAAGAAAATAAACAAACTTTTCACTGAAGATTCATTTTCTTCAACACGCTTTTAAGTTCATTTTTACTAAAATGGTTGATCTGCATAAAACAATAAATATATCAGCATCAATGCTATTAGAATGGCTCTATTATTATCTTATATACACGCAATACTTTTCGTCACCAATATAAGCTAATAATTATGTGCACTACTTTATAAAGTAGGTACTTTTTTTAAGTCGTCAATAAAGTAAAATAGGGGAATTAAATTACTATAAGAAGCAAACTAAGATTATTCGGGCTTGTACGTTCAAATTGTGACCTCTTAATTTGAACAAAGGGTATGTAGTCTACGAGTGTAATATTTATTAAGAATACTATTCTTTACACCAAGTATCAGTGTTGGGTTTGATTTAAAACTAAATAACCGTATCTAATAAAAAGTACCTTCTCGAATACTGTTGTTTTATGAACCTCAGGTAAAGGGGCCCTTCCAGTTATCCAGCTGTATATATCCCAGTCATTCTCGCTAAGCAACCTATCTAAATCGTTTAACTCCTCCCTTAAAAATAAAGTAGTTTTATATAAAACAATTAAGTATCGTTATGATTATAAGAAACAGTACTCGTTCAACTCGGGGATTTTGGTGTCACAAAAATTTGATAACAGCAAACTGGACTCAAGAATGCCTCTATATTTGCCTTGATATTTCAATCGTTTTCTCTTTATATCCACAGTTTCATTTGATCGCGCCACATTTTTAGTGAAAGATAACTCATCAATATCTTCTTGTTTGTTAATAAAATCATGCATTAAGGCTTCAACCCTAAAACTGTAAGTGCAACGACATTTGAACTGGTAAAAAGAGCGAACGAAGCGGAGGACCAGCATGATGGCGTTAACATTAATACTAAATATGTTACTCGTCATACACCTAAACCTTCACTATAACCCCCAAATGACCCCTGCAGGCATGATGAAAAAAAATAAATTTTCACCCTATAAATTATTACTTAAAAATGCTCAACCGCATTTAAAAACTTATTTCACAAGGTGAAAGTTTACTTATTTTTTAACGTCTATTTTTAATTGTCTCATCTTGATTGTTAGTAGATATAAAATTTTCTTTTATAGTTCCAGGCTATCAGGCGCTTTATCAACTTGACAAAAGACAGAGAGTTTTTCGTCTTGGTAACTACTCTGTAACCCCTTATAGTTTACTGGTTACTATGTTTATCACTTGTTGCCTAGTTTCAATTTGCGTGTAGGTTTCTGCAACTTGACCCTAAACGACAGGCTCGGGCTCTGAAACAACCTCTGCTAAGTTTGAGTACTATGTTCTGACGGATTAGCCAGCAATCAACAAAATATGAAGAGGTGGTAAATTTAGTTAACAGTGAACGTAAAACAAATGTCTTTTAATCCAAAGAGTTTTGCCCGTTAAAGGGTTGATGTATAAATATAAACCTATTGTGGGTAAATATTTTTGGAGGCAGTTATTAGGAGGCCACCATGCTAACTTCGCTATAGCTACCACATTATTAAGAAATTTTTAAAAATAAACATTTACCCAGGTCTCACAAAGGCTATATACATTTAGCTAACCCTGCACTGACCAAGAGACATCATGGATTTTTCTTAACTCGTATCAGATGTTTTAAAAAAATTTTGCTATAACACAAAAATAAATTAACTTTTAAATGCAGTTAAGGGATGAGTGTGAAAGCACAATACTTAATAATTATAAAGTATGTGGCCGGTGCTGTTCTACACAGGGGGCTTAAGAGCAAATTAATTATTAGTGCCTCTAAGCTTTGGCTAACGCCATATTAAATTTGGAATAAATTATACTTTACTTTATTGTTTAACCCTGTAAGACAAACTTAACTAAATTAAATGGCCCGGAAAGTAAGGCAGTCATAGTTGAGAATCAACCGCTCCCATAGCATATACTAATATTTTTATAACCAATTAAAGCTAACATCTATTTAATTGTAATATTTAGTCGCTAATTATAATTAAATATAGTTTTAGTGGCTAATTAAAAAAATTTACAGATAGTTAAATACTTTAATTTTACATCTACTCTAAATAAATAAATTAAATTGACAGAAAATAATAAAAAAACTTCCTACTTGTACAGATACGTAAATGTAGGAAACTCAATAAAATTGTCTCCTCGAGATACATATGAATTTAGGCGTGGTGGAGTTTAAATCGAGTGTAAAGCATACGCCACCAAAGATTTGCTCCGTGCTCTCCTTTTGTTGTACATCCTTGAAAGGTTATTTATGTCCTGATTTATTTATCTATTTTATACTTATACATATTATATACAAGTCTGATATGGTGCTAACAAGTTTATCCTTTATTGTTCACTAGGTTTTTTTATTATTACATTTTCTATCCAGCAAGTTTAATTAAAATACGAAAATGTGATGGGATAGTAAAAATAAACGAGCTCTTTCCACTAGATCAACTTATACCCACTTTAAAGAAAAACTTTCATACTCTTCATATTTTATATTTATTTCTCTGCACTTGTAATACAATAATTTTACTTTTTTTACGCATTTGTTGACTACGATGCTATTTTAAAGACCATTGACAGAGAATAAAAAAATATGACTGGTAATATAGGTTAAGTTAACTCCAAATGTAAGAAGCGGAACCTTTTAAATTAATTTTTCGCGATAACTACTACCAATATTTCAGAATGACTAAAACATTATAATATTATTGTCCTTAGAGTGTATACTAAAGGCTTTTAAGTTACCATTTTTATTGGGGTGGTGGCTAAAGAAAAGTTTAGTCTAAGGTTTAGTATATGTCTTTATTTCGTGCTCTTAAGGTGGCTTTGACCTCTAAAAAACGAGTGCGAGACAATCTAGTAAGGCTGGTTTTTACTCTGTTACTTTTTTTTACCTTTATACAGAGCTATTGACTACTTAATAGACGCGCAAAGGAACAACAAAGAGTAAAAATAAAATTAAAAATTTCCGAGTTATAATGATTACAGGTATCAGCTTTACATCATTTGTATGTCATCTTAAGCTTTAATGAGGCGGTTACGTTCAAACAAGTTCTACAATCATAATATAATTACTTTTTAAAAAAAGAGGTTTGAAAGACACAATATATAGAGTAAAACTTATATAAAATTATTGCTTATAATATGTGTTAAGTGAAAGGCTGAAGCTGTTAGGTTATATACATTTTCATGAAACCTTCATCAAGTACAGGTATATAGGATGAGCACACGCAAAGGGCACCTCGAAAACAATGCGCAGATAAACAAAATTAAATGATGGAGAAATCAATTCATTATAATCATAAATATTGCCTAATTATGGCAATTTGCGCTCATAATCATGTACTGGGATCTTTTTATTTAAACTTTCTAACCCTTCACAATTAATAACGCTTATCGAAGAGTTTGTTCTTAAGTTTTATAAATATTCTTCTTGCGATAAATTTTGTAAACAAGTTGGCTAGTATCTCGTTGCTGCAACAATATTTTATACATATGTTCTTTTCGGTTAAAACCTTTTTTTTTATGTAGTGGTATTTTAAATTGCTATCTCTAGAGAGTAGCCCGCCTGCATCCCGGGAGCGGTTCGTGCCAACACATTACCCCACGAGCCACACTGCTTGGTCAAACGCTATAGTCTCTCTGGATACACAGTTTTCCCAGGAGTTAATTACTATCGGTGTGATAAATAGCGCATGCCATCTTAATAAAGGCCTTCGCCTGTTGCTAAAGCTTTTTCAGTTACTCCACGTACATACTCTTAGATATTTAAATATTTTTTGAGTAGTGGTTGTCTTCATGAAAACCTGCTCCAGAGTTAAGAATATATTTGGAATGTCTTTTATTTGTCTTAAAAGCTAAATTTAAGTATGTTTTTATTTTGCAGCGGAATTCGTAGTGTCAGTTACCCCTTGTTTTTAAAAAAACATTCCTTTTTATAATAACTAGGGTTAATGAATTTTTGACATTTTATTTTAGAAGATTTAACAAATCGAAAAAAATGAACGCCGAAGAGGTGTGTAAAAAGCAACTTGATGACAAAGTTGGAAATTACTACGCTCCAACATATTAGTAACCACGCCCGTTCACAAAGAGGCAACCGGGTCCAGACCCAAAGCACCTCGTCCTCCGACTCTCCCACAGACTAAGAGTTAAAAACAGGTAATTAATGAATTATCGTTGAACTAAATCTTTGGTGTGAATGTAGTTGTGACGAAGATGAAACCTTGAGAGGCATTATGCGCAAACTAATTAGTAGTGGACACGAAGAGATGTAGAAAATAAGTAGAATTATTTCTCGCGAGTAAGTCTCCTAATATGCCGTAATTAAAATGCTGCATTTGAAGCTGCGGAATTAAAGACAAAGCAATGCAAACAATCTCTCACCTTTGCGAAAGAGAAAAGAGGAAAGTGGTTCATGAAGACGCTTTAATATTTCTAAACCCCTCCACGTATACCATTCCCAGGTCGTTACCTTCATTGATGAAAATGGGATAGAGGCTCAAGAAGAATTTCCGCGAGCACCGACGGTTGTTGTCAACGGGTTCGGAGGTTACTTGGCTTTATTTTTAAACTGGGATGCTGTGTATGGGAAAATGCTCCACCAGAGACCCGGAAATCTGTTGGAGCGGCGTTTGTAAAAGTTGGCTGATAAATTAGCATACTACGCAATCCCGGATTGGGAAACCAACCTCGACTCCACCGCTAAGGAGTATAGGCGTCAAGAAATAGACTTAATTGAAGCAATGAGTCTCCCTATCCAATAAAGATATCTGATGACTTGATGACTTAAAAGAGCCTCTAAGAAATTTTATATAGAAAAGCCGTAATATTATGTGCTTCATGCCTATAAGAGCCATGACTGGAGCAGCGAAGCCATGTGAATAGAGGAAAGCTTCAAAAACACATATTATTGGAATCCTCACTTATGAGTGAAATTCGTGAAATCCATTCCCTTATTGCGTTTTATGGGGCCATGGGGGATTACAAGCTTTCTGGTGCCTAGCTACCCTTTTCATTCCTCATTATCGCGTTAGGGACATGGCTTTGACCTTAGATGGGGTAATTACTACCCCTATTGGTTACATGTGTTATTGGTAGCCAAGCAAGGGCTTTGGAGATTCAGGCCAGGAAAGTGCACTAATTATTTCCCAAAGGGTCATATCGTAATGTACCAGTGTATAGTTTTCGAAAGATCACCAGCACCGGGAAGTTCGCTCGTGCAGCTGGTTACTCTAAAAAGTACAGATCCCCCCAAGAAGCGATATGAGCCTTTGGGAATGTGGGAATGGAAGCACCACACTGTGACAGTTAAGGAGGGCTCATGGCTAACCAGGTGCTTTTGCACTTGTAGATTCATCGGGATAATATGCAAATTGTTTTAGTTGAAAACCCTTAAGCTGGGCAAGATTGCAGAAAAATGTTAATATTGCGAGATTTAGAGTTATCCTTCTTCTTTTCGAACTTTGATGTTGCTTCCCGCTCACATTACCTCTCAGAACGATTGCAAATAACTTGCCAAACCTCTGCCATTTCACTGGTGCAAAGTATGATATTATGAATCTTCCGCATTTCATAAATTTATCTATTTTAAGTAATACTTAGTTAAGTTCGCCTAGGAGAGCAAAATAAAAACGAGCTGTTTTTATATATTTTCTAAAAATTTTAAAATCCATAGTTGTGTTACTTTTTACGCTCAAGTAAGTTATCAAATTTTATCTGGAAGGGAGGCTATAATTTCGCTTGTATCAAATTTTCTATCCATCAGTTACTTTTTAAGAGTTACTCTAACGGCAGGAATTTCTATGTTAAATTATTTCAAGTCCTTCCTTGACCCTTTTACTTTGTTCAACTTGTAATTTTTCTTCATCATTCGACGTTGGGTCATACAGAGCATTTAGAGTTTCCTACTGTCAAGGGGTAAAACTCAACCTATATTTTCCAGTTTAGATAATCGTCAATCGCTTTTTTTAGTTTTTTCATGTATGCTGCAAATCAGGGTGTTAACTTAGTCGGTAAAGTTTGGACTACTAATTGCTTGTTAGGGTATAAAAACCTTTCAACGTTGACTTGAAGTCTCTGAGTCTTTTCAAACGAGTAAAAGTATATCAAAGTACACGTACAAGACAAACAAACAAAAAAAACCGCAGAGAAAAAATGAACGCAACTCACTATTGGAAAATAGAAACTATTATTTACAAAAATAAGTGGATAAATAAATCTTACTGTAAACATAAATTGCCTACTTATGACAATTTGCGTGGATAATTATGTTAATGCATTGGTAGCTATTAACATAATATCTAATGAAAATTATGATAGGGGCGCCTGCTATGTAATCGGCATATATTGTAGTTTAACAACACCATCAGAATTAAATATAATAAAAATATAATAAAATCAAAATTAAATATTATAAAAAATATAAACAATAACATAATAATAACATTATAATAACAATGAAGGAAAACAAAGTTGAACCTCCGCATCAACATCACCTCACTTAGTGCTGTTGCCTTATAAAAATTCAAAACTTTTAACCTTTTTTTTTAATAATTAAAAAGAGTGCTTTTGACCTGTATAAAAGATACAGGGACTTGTTCTCTTATCTCGTTGCTTGCGCGTGTCCTGTGCGTACTTTAACATCTTTAAGATCTTATCTTAACTTTTGTGCAGAATGCGCGTAGACAACCTTAGTTATCTCTGCGGCCACAGCGATTTAGACGTCGGTCATCATTTAAAGATCCTTTTAAGCACCTGTGTGTAGGTTGGTGCTACGAATGGTAGCATTATGCAATCTAGTTGTTTCTTTTGCATTTGACCGTTGGTTTGAAACTAACTTATAAGCCTTCGCGTTTTCAGTGTACATTCTTTAACGGAGCCACGTTTGCTTTTCACCGCCGGGACGTTATCGTAAAGCGCACGAAAAAGATCGTGCTTACATATTCAAATTCGCGATTACAGACGCCTCGTGCCTCTAAGCTTCCCGATGGTTTCGATCTAGGTAAGGTGAAAGGTTGTCATTTATTGGCGGAGCACATGCTTAATGTAGGTTCATTCCCCTTTGGTCATGTCACCCCCTACCGTAAAAAGGCTTACTTATGATCTTGAACTATTGTAGTTCACTAATGATTTAGGTATTAACAAAACCTTTAGACCCTGATTATGGTACCTTCCTTTAGGAGCTAATGGACACAGGGTTCACATGTGCAGCGGAAATTTAGCAAAGAAAAAACGCATCTATGTACAGTAAATAACTGTTGGGATTAAGGTCCATAAATAAAACAAAGGAAACATTTTAATGAAAATATTAATCAATACCAAAAGAGTAATTAAATATAAGTTCATAAAAGTACTTGAATTAGATGACATATCTAATACAGTGCTTCTGATATTGTTGATTTCCCAGGTTTTTTAAGTTGTCAAAAAACAAAGTAAACATGATGTAGGTTCGTCGAAACGGTAAAAGATTATGTAATGATTTATTTGATAGTTTTAACCACCTGAAAAGCACAACATCACCACCATTTCACACACTAAATGAAATGAAAAGTCATGCTCCCGACAAAGTAGCCCTCACTATACCTGGTAACTTGACCTAAATGTAATCAAACAAACGAAAAAATATGGTTTTTAATTAGTTTAAAAAGATAAGTATATATATATAAATATATATTAAAGGGCAACTCAAATACAAGAAACAGCTGGGCATAAACTGAACTATAAAAAAAAACAGAAAAGCACTAAAATAAAAAAATACAAAATAGAAAAACTATTATATTAGGCTTGGATAAATAAAGTCTGAAGGGAGTACAAAATTAACTCTTTAACAGGGGAAATTTCTTCCTTCTCCATTTTTTCGTATGTATCTATTACTAACCGCCCTATTAACTCTTTTTATGGTCCGGACTATAAGCTCTTTGTAAAGATGTGCATGAGTGATAAACCACGAAGCGTTTGTAAACATATTTCAGCCCTAGGGGGAGTGCAGTACTTCAAATAGGAGAGGCATAGTATCTTTAAACTGGACTGATAATCGTTTGGTACATTAATAATACAATTTAAAAGAACTTAACAAATAGTAAACCCACTTTATGGAAAGAACCTCCCAACTGGAAGGCATTAATTTGACTGGGTTTTTCAAGGAATTGGCTCCCATGCAACTAATACTGCGATGCTTAGAAAACAGTACTCCCTTGCTGCCAGCCTTCTTGCACACTCTCTTAATGATACGGCTTCAAGCCATCCATTTACCACCAAAATTTCACATAAAGCGTATAAGTCGCTTCTTTCAAAATATGAGAGAACGTCGCCCCAAGACCTTCTTTACCTAAATCATAAACTGTGGCGCTTGAATCTCTCATTACCCAAGTGTATAGGGATCCGCAGACAATGGGAGGAGGAGTGCATTACAGTACTTTGCATTATGCAATGGAGACTGCGGACAACCTAACACCTGAGCCTTCATATACAGGGCACTATTACGGTCATTCAATAAGGAATTAAGATGGTTACTCTGGTTGACAATGAATACTGTGCTTGCCACTGGGATGGGACGCGAGAGGAAAGTGTGAATGAGAAGAGGAAGATCAAATGGCATGTATTCGGCTTGTGACAAAAGTTTTTCGAGGCGCTGTCCGAGGTGATCGAGATCAGGGCGCAACCAAGCATAATTTCTGCCGAAATACGGGCGATTCTGATCTAATAAATCTTTTGTTGTATCTTTTGGGGTTTGTGGTATGGAATTCCTCCGTGCAATAGTTTAGTTAAAAGGCAATTCTTATCGACAATGCACAAGCTTTAGTATACTTAATGACCATACGTTTTTTTAGATCTACTTCTAGTCAATAATCGATAATGAATGCCAGGGACTTTTATGCTTGCATCCCTTGGAGTATTTAAAATTTTGATCTAAAACTGAAAACTTATTGCTGTAAGAAGCTTAAAGTTAAGAAACTTTACAGCAGTGGCTTTGACGTACACTTCAGCAAAATATCACTAAAGCTATAATCAGTAATGGTTTGGGTTGTACCCAGTGTAATAAAGTATCACTTATGAGAACTTAATAACTACTTTAGTTACGTACGTACTATCGTTGCTGTTTAGCGTAAACAGGAGTAATACCGTCGATAACCTGCATACCTTTTAGAGTAATTAGTAACAGGTTATAGAGAATTAAAATAGATTGACTAATTTACTTTTAATTTTGGTATTTTAATAAGAAAGAAGTTTTGGGCAAAGTTGAAAGAAAATTTATGGAAATTTTTTTTGTTTCATAAGAGCAAATGAGAAAAGTGCTATTTTTTTCCCGTTATCATAACCAAATAAAGAAATTTCACTTAAGAATTTTTTGTTTAAAAAAGTCAAATATTATAGGTAATTTTAAGTTTGTTAATAAAGAAGAAGCCAGAAACTATTGCTACTTAGCGTAGCTGAGAATAAAAGAAGGGCGTAGGTTATATGCGTTGCGTTTTTTACTTTAAAGACTAGCCAAGAAACATTAAAATTTGCAGTCGCCTATTCGTAGGATCAAGTTATCATAAGCTTAAATATTTTATGTTGGAACAGATACTAAAATACTTGTAGTAACTCACCAACTCGACAACTCTATCTTTCTGGGTGTAATGCGTAACAATTTTGTGAAAGGCAAGCTTTTTGTCTGTCAATTCCATCTAAATTACGGCCTTAAGAACTAGTCTAGCCGGGCTTACCAAGATTGGGAAAAAAGTAGATTGCACTACAAGAATTATTATAACAGTTAAAAAACGTTTCTAACGGCATATAATTATATTTTACTGGAGTGCATTGTTGCTATATATAAATGTTCAAGCATAACTTTCTCAAGTTAATAAAAGAATATGAAAATAAATAATTAAACTTATCTTAATCCGTGTAAAATATCTAGTTTAACTAGTTAAGTTAGCGTTTACTTGCTTATTCCCTAGACCACTCTTGAATGCAGCTAGTCCTCTAGACCAACTTAAAACTAAAACACTGAAAAAAAACGAGCCCCCATGTTCTGTTAATAATACAGGTTTATATACTATGATAACAATGCAATTACTATATAATTATCTAAACTTTATAAAGCTATCCTCAATGAATCAAATTTATAAATCCGTGCTGTAAGATGATCAAATTCTAAACGCCCTAGACTGACCAACGCCTTCCACCAGGATTAAGAACTGTACGCAAGCGTGTGGTATGACCCATAAACACTATTAAAAAACAACTTTTACTTAAAATAAATATGTTCGCGCGCCACTCTTGAGATTGTGTCATCCTCTTATAAAATAAAATGCTACTTTTATCCGATTTAACTTTACTCTGCTTGGCTGTATGAGAAAACTACAATTTTTCCCCCTACGCTAGTGTTATAATAAACGCAAGAAATAGCCCCGCATGTGGAAAAAAAGACTTTATTTTTAGGTAGGTATTACGAGATTCTGAACGACAGCTTCTAGTGGTGCACTAGAGATTCACGCGCACGTCAAAACCAAGGATCAGGAACTTTTCCTAGACGTGTGGTTTAAAAGATGCGTTAATGAAAAAATGCTTCTTTTTATAAACAACTACACAACATACGCGCTGGTTTAACGTCCGTAAAGGGAAATAATGAGTCACCAGGAGGGTCATACTCTTCTATAAAAAGCAAAGAAAGTAAAGAAGCACGTGACGCCTCCTTATAAGCAGTTTCTTGGTAATTTTAAGGTGAAAGCAAAAAAAGGCAAAAAGTGGGAGGAGAGAGAGTAGAGCGCACCAGAAGACGGGGATTTTCTTCCTTGCACTGAAGAATAGGATACCGCTTCCTTCTACAAGTATATTAAAGGGGAGGTCACATGCAGTGCTGCGGTATAAACAAAGCTTCCTTAAACCTCGCTGGGAGGCGAAAAGTTCAAAAATGGGTTTTTATTAGGACGAGAGTCCTAGAAGAAAACGCTGTAAGCGTTGCAGGAAAGTTTAAAAAATTAAGAATAAGAGTAGTACTGCGGCGTCGCTGGAGTCGACAGTGAAGGGATTCCGCCCGAAGGAACTCTTAACTTATTGTTTAATGCAATAAAAGAAAATGGATAATGGTCGTACGCTACAAGCGGCGGGCCGAAGTGTGTCGAGGTTAACAAGGTTCTTGGCCCTCTCTGTCCATAGTAGCGGGTTCGGAGGGGCACTCCTCTAACAAGCAGAGAGACAGAATACTCTCAAGACTCAATTGATTGTGAAGAGACTTACGGGAAGATTCTTGCGAAGCGCCAGTGCCGTAAGGAAAGAGAGGGAAATAAGCAAATCACATTCTCTAAGAAAAGCGTAACACAAACCGGATGGTGCGAGGAAAGCCGCCCTGAAGAAGAGATGGCGGTAAACTCGTCTTCTTCCTCGCGTCTCTCGCCGCTGCTGTCAGCCAGCCCCCACTGCATCGACTTCTTCATTAATGCATAAAGTTATATAGAGGCACCACATGAGGCTTAACAGACTACTCCAACTCCCCATGTAGTGGTATCAAGAGAAGTGCTACTGCTGCTCGACGTGCTCTTACCACTTTCCTGCGGCAAGCCTGCCATCGAGTAGGCGCTTCTGTTCCACGCTGGATCGAGATAGGCTCAAAAGAAGCAAAGGGGGAAAGTAGCGGCGGGCTAGCCTTCAAGGGAGGTGGCGGGCATCGGTTTCTCATGATCACAAAAGGAAGAAAGATCGATCAAATCTTCGGTTTGCGACAGTCTTTTGGGGGAATCTTCTGCACAGTTTCAAAAGAAGCCCGCAGAGACGGGAAATCACGTAGAAGACCTTGTGGGTTGCTGACCGCCGCGTTATGAAGAAAATCGCTCAGTGAATTGTTCGCGCTGCAGCTCCCTGTTTAGAGAATTTAAGTAGTCAACTATATAAAGGGAATTGGAAATATTAGAGAAGAACTTTGGGATTTCATATGTTCCAAGCGGCTTAAAATAAGAGCTGTTTGAAGATCTTGATCAAAGGAGTCAGTCTTCTGTTCGCGATTCTTCTGTTCTTCATATTCCTTTTTACTTTCGTCTAGTGCTTTTCGTAGCTGTTCCTCTTCGAGACTTTTCTTTGTTATTGAAAAGTGAAAACGAAGAAGTGCTTATTTGTATAGAAAAAAATAAATCTGTGAACCCTACGGCTACGCGGTTGTAAATGCAAATCAGCGGAGCGGAACTGGGCTTCATAAAGTCCGTACGTTTCTTTTATTTTTTTACGTTCTTTTTTTAAAGTGTCTCTCTAAATAAGCCACACTTAAATATTTACTACTATAATTAAGCCAACGGCATCAATAACCTCTTTCTTTAGTTCATCTTGATTTGTAAGTAGCCAAACAATGTTCTTCGCCTTTAATCTAATGTTTTCGCCTAAATCAACATTCTTTTCCGCCAAAGTAAACTCTCGTAAAGTAGTAATCTTATATATATTTTCTATAGCGGAACGGACAGCATTATAGGAGCCGTGTTTTAGTATAAAGTCTAAAAGGTGTAAAGCCTGTTAATTTTGTAAAATAAAGTTACACTTTGTAAAAAGTTTAATATAATATATAGAGTAAATACATAAGTATAATATGGATACTTTATAAATATGACGCCAGTGTTTCCTTGGCTCATCTAATCGTTTCCAAATGGCCTTCATTATACAGGGTAGCTGGTAATTATCATAAGTCCCCCAAGCAATTTCAACTAACTGCGATCTGAGGGGTGTATGCGACTTATTGGAAGTAGCTTTCCGAACCTTCAAAATATTCAGAGATATTAATTAATGAAGAAACCAAAAAAATAAAAATAAAAATTATAAAAATTAAAATACTTTATAAAAGCCATACTTTTCTTTCTATTTCGCTCTTTTTTCCTGTGAAGTCCACTCTTTAAGGACAGAATCAATATTTATTAATTCTATTAGTAAAAATGTTTTACTAAACAAATATTTTTACACTTTTTTCATGATCCTTTTCTATCTGGCACTAAAAGGTTCTTTTAGATGCTATTCTATATGTAAGGAGAGGGCGAATATAAACTCCGAGTTTCGCACAATAAATCAAGCCAAACCAGGAATTAGCCCCTTGAAGGAAGCTAGTTTTATAACAGGAACTCAACTTACTAAAATAAAGTTCTAAAGATATACTTTAATCTTTGCGTTCGTTTAGCTTTAGTGGGGTTTTCCTTATTATCTTTTTAGGAGTTATTTAATTAGCATCTTCCGGTGAGGTGTACTAATGTGCGTTGTTTCTTAAGCATGATAGGATATCTAGCAATGCTACTATTTAAACAGACTTAAAATATGCCGATACTATAACTGAAATGGAAAATAATAGCAAATTAGTTAAGAATAATGTTTCTTCCTTTATAACTACATTGACTTCTTTTTATGGTAGCTATATTATCAAATTTTAGCTCGGTTTTCTAGGTTCAGAAAGTTTTTTTGCGCACTTCTGTTTCGTTTATTTATGAAGGAAGACTGCCTTTAGTTATCTGAACCCTAATAGACGCTTTTTAGAAATAATATAAGCTAAGATTTTGGCTCTATTATAGTTAGGTATACAGATCTTGGGCTTCCATAACCCTTTTTATAAATTTAAAACGCATAATAAAAAAAAAACGAGCGTTTAAACCCAAAGCAGTAATTAAAGCCGAATAACTGTAAATTGTTATATAAACAAGGAACCCGTAAACACTAATGAAATAATTAAAAAAGTTTGAGAATATATTTTTAGAGTTTGCAAATTTTTGGAAGAAGTATTTTATAAAGGGAGGAGAGATAGAGGTCTCGGAGCATTAAAAAGTAGGCGAAAAATAAAGTTCACAAGAACAGCTGACTTGCATTTTACTTCTTGAGGGGCTTAAACTATTATGAGACTCTTCCCGCGTAAATAAAATCTAATTAACTTATGTAAGATCCTTTTCTTTATTGTTGCATATAAAAATAAAGATAAAAAATAAATCGCACTAGTATATCAAATTATATTAAAAACTTTATAGAGTTTGTATTCGTTTAAAGCAATAATTCCAGTTTTTAGTTAAAAGAGTTAAAAGTGCCTTTATAAAGGCATTGAACACTCTTTCAGAGATGTAATTTTAAACAGCTCCAAAGTTTATTTTTGTGAACGAAAAATAGTTGGTAGGACTCAGCAGAACCCTTAAAGTTTTACTGTCTGTCGAGCTCTACATGAAGTCTCAGTAACTTGCGAAAATGAGTCAGCGTTTCATTTTGATTTTTGCAAATGCATTGATTAACTTTAGTTTAAAAAAAAATGACCGTGTTGTGGCATTAACTGTATTTCGACTTTTAAACCCTACAAAAAATTGTAAGTCCTTTAGAATCTATTCATCTTGGACTAGAACAGGATATCGACGTTAATTGTAGGTTTATGGATACGAATTCATGCGGACCCCATTCACGTCACCAATAACGTCTTACGCTTTTTTTAGTTAACCCCGAACAAACGATTAGCGCAAACACTTTTTTCCATGTATTAGACGCTCCGCTCTCAATTCCTTGTGGTAGATCTAATTAGTTTACTTATGTCTTCGAGGCTGAAATCTTTTCATTTTCGAAAAGGTCGTAAGTTGGTTCTTCCACGTCAGGTGTCGCAAGGCTTGATATAAAATGACTGTTGTCCTCGTTGAATCAGTTCTGCAACATAATATTACAGGATGCAGGACTAATTAAAAAGTGTGAAGCGAAAAGGCCTCTTCATCTTTAACAGCAGAATATAACTTTGTAAAACAAAGTTGCTGAAATATTATTTTCTAAAGTTATAACAGGTATTATTCGTGAAGTTTGGACTCGGTTTCAGTGACAAGACTCGCTAGCTAACTTCTAGAGCATTGTGACTAAATACGTGCCATAACTTTTTCATAAACCATTAAGACTAAACAAAACTAAATATATATGTTACTTTTGACGTTAACGTCTTTAATGTTACTGCTTTCCATGCAGCTTGATGTCCTAGAGGCCTTGAACCAACTCAAATTATATATCTCATAAGATCCGCAGTGTTCTTTCACCCTTTACTTACCGGGTTAGTCGTACATTAGCATCCTTGAATCCTGTTTTGTTGTATTTGTACTTATTGCTTGTTTCCATTTAATATTCATATATATTAATAAACTTATTACTTGCCCATAAGGTTATGTTAACTCGCTATCATTACAGTGTTGATTAAGCAAGCTGAAATTAGAACATTAATAGAAACAAAAAAACATATCAGATTTTAAAGAAAAGGCAAAAAAGTGTGAAAATTAAATAATTTTTTTTTTAAGAATTCTAGCATATTCTAGGGTTAGACGTTAATACCTAACCTAGAAACATGTAGTTAAACTGGAACATATAGTTGTAGAAACCAGATAAATCTAGAACATAAAAAACTTTTAATAAATATAAAACAGGAAGAATATTATCTATGTAGTCCAGTAAAGATAGACACTTCTTTTATAAAAAGATTTAATTTTTCAAACAAACGAGCAAAGTATGTCGGCGAGCCCTGCGACAGGGAAGAACCAAAATAGGGAGTTAGCATTTACATAGAAGCTGGACGACCGCCCTCAAAAAAAAATAATTATTAAAATAGTTTGAAAATATCTAAAATTAGCTTTGCAATGCTCAAGGAGTTCTATGAAAACACCAAAGCCTTACAACTCACTTGTTTAAGCCTTTCTCAAGGACCCTTAACCCTTTAACTACCGTATCTTCAAAGAGCAAGATGGGTGCCTAATCTTTATTTCAAAATATCCCCACCTCTTTGTATAAGTTGAAGCAATTCTATTATTTTTAATATTTGTTTCTAACATATTTTTTATTATAGTTTTATAAATCTTAGTTACTTTAGTTTTAATATCATTTTTCTAGTATGATTTTCATTAAAACTCGCAATAAATATGTGAAACTTATGAGTTAACAAGTACGTTCAGGCTCTAAGGGCTTAAAAAAAAAAACTATATTATAATAATTTAGAGGATTCACTAAATGAAGTTTGTGTAGAATTAGGAAAAGGTTTTTTTTCAAAATCTAAAAGGTTTGAGTATATATTTTTTTCGAAATACTTATTAAATTTACTATGTGATTTATAGATCTAAATAGCCTAGAGCAATCTATAGTAGTTAAATTTTAATTAAAAATTATTATTTCTTTACGTTTTTTATTAAGTTTTGACTTTAGTTAATGAGTCAACTTTGTATTCTACAGAACAGATGGCTCATAAGTGCACTAATATGTCTAGATTGACCTGCTATAAAAACTTTACGAATATAAGAGGTAACATAATTTCGAGCTCCTTGAGACGAGTTTGCCTATAAAGGAATCATCCTTGCTCGAAATAAAAATAAGTTTGGGAGCACACAGTTATAAGTTAGTACCTAAAGGGTTTATTTTCTTACTGGTTTCATTTAATTTTTATTTTTCACATAAACTTATATAAATTGAATCCAATTAGTTTTAATCGTGTTTGTTATCATTTTAGAAGTTGTTTAAATCCCTTATATTTACTCCTGTATTTGTTAACGTCAGTTTTTTCTTTTTCTTTTTCGCGTTTTATTTGAAATTATTATAGTGAAAAATTGGTTTTTAATAGCTTTTAAGTTCTTTCAGAACTTTCTTTATCAACTATTATGCTTTAATTTTTCCTACTTTATTGTTTATAAAAAGAACTATTGAACAATATTTTATGTTAATATGAAATTATAACTTGTAACTTTCCAGAATGAAAGAAATTTTTTAACGCCGCCTCCTAAAGACACCTTTTTTAAATTAAAAGAAGTTAAAAGTGGTTATTACACATTTTTATTTTATTTTTTATTAAGAATTATTAACTCAGAGATCCGCAGTAAAAATTGTACGAACTTATTAAAATAAAGTTAGTTCGGAATGGCGCATTTCTACCAGTAAACATCTAGTTTACTTTTTATTAAGAAAAACAGAAATAAATATAAATTTAAGTAAACTTTCTATTATATAATAAAATATTATACACTTTTTTTCCTACAAGAAAACAAATCTTTACAACTTTCGTGGACCAGTGAAGGGCTTTAGTTGTCTCTTCTCCTTTTCATATGTTTAGATTCAACTAACTTTTATTATATATAGGAAAACTCCTTTATCATAACTTTTTTGTTCTTTTCTCCTGCAATTAATTTTTTGTAGAGTTCTTTCTTATTAAATTTTCGTTATTGGTACGTTTAAAAAATAGTATCTCCATATTATAAAAAATTGTGGTTACGTTACGTATGTAATTTTAATAAATTTATAGGTTCTTGAAACCCTCATTATTTTTTTTAATTTTTTTTTGTACTAATAAAAGTTTACTTTCTATGTTTGTCTCCTTTAAAGTTCATATTGTAATTCAGAAGCCAATATACGTAAGGCTGAATTATTATTGGAGGAAGATGAACAGCTACGCAAAGCTCGGTATTATCTTGTTCCCTCTAAAGTCAGCGAAGAAAACTTTTGAGGAAACTATTTCTATAGAGTTGAGATCATCTTGCAAGAAAGCCTTCCAGCAAAAGTCTCTTTTAGCACTTTTGATTGGTTCTATTTGTTTTATAATCATTCTAGAATTGTTTAAAATTTTGCATTCAAAATTTAACTACTTTTTATAATATTTTTTTTGCGCGATATAGAGATTTTATTTAACTCTTTAATAAAAAAAAATTCAATTCTTTGCTTTTTCTTAGAATTATAAATTTCTTTCTTTCTATAGTTGTATAATTATATATCTTTTTTTATTATTATTATTTTTTCTTTAAAAAAAAGGTAAAAAATTCTGAAGGTGCCCCGAATTCTACTAGTAAAGTAGCTGTGGAGAATTTCCAAACAAAACATAATCCTACTCAAGACTAAGTCCTAAGCAATTTTTGTAGTCCCATTCACGTGTATTTTATAAATTTCCCGTGCTTGTTAAATTAAACTTTTTTTTGGAGATGCACGGATTTTCCTTCAATGATTCGAACATTGAAAAAGAGACTTAGACGAAGAGTTGGATGGTATTTGTGTTCCCGACGGTAATATTTTTATATTCGTTCTGTTTTCACTGCGTTATCTACTTGTGCAAATCCTAAAAGTTACTGAAGGCGACTCTATAAGTTTTGCTATAAGTATGCGTTTTCGCTTAATTAAGTTTCTGTATGTTACAAACACTACTTATATATGCAGTTAGTAATCTATTATCCATTTTTACGATAATTTAGACGATTTGCTCGACGACCTGAACGCTTTTTGATTTTGAATTGGGCTTAAACTAGTTTTTAGTTGTATAATAAACTTTTATAATTTATTTATATAATAAAGTAAATCATTAGAACCGAACAGTTTAGTAACCCAAAGTAGATGATAGTAGATAACTACAAAAAAGTGATCCTTTTTTAAACCGCTAATAAAAAAAATTTATTCCAATTTGAAGATTAACACTCAGTGTCCGATTTTTCACGTGGGTGATCTTATGCAACATTTTTGGAAAAATACCCCTTCCCGGCGGGACACTGAGATCCTTGCTCCTCTACTTTTTATCCGTCAGTGCAAGAGGCTAGGAATCGTAGCGACTCTGTATACTCCTGGTACTGGTAAATTCCTGCAGTCAACTTCCCTCTTATAATGCGTTGTGCATACGGTTCTACTGTTCTGAATAAAAGATCATCGGTAAACTTAGCTTGGGTCTATATCCGAAATCTTTCCGATATTAGTAAAAATTAGGCCTAGAAAGATAGAGGGGGGTCTACCATCCCATCATTTTTATTTATTACATCATGGGCCCAGCTCTTCTCGTTATTGTAGATTTTAAAGTCATTTAAATAGGTAATGACTATCACTGACATTTCCCGGCAAATTAATAAATAGGCAAGGTCCGTTTTTCATCCCTATAAGCAGAGTCCACTTAGCTTGTGCACTCTATATTAAAGCCATAATAATCCGGTTTGTTTTATGATGTATACTACATTTACTAGTTTAAAGCTTTTATTTACGCTCACTGAAGAGTGCATTAAAGAAAAACCCAAAAGAACTTTAAGGTATATAACGTAGTTTATGTTAGTATGCAAATGCAATTTCTCACCTCAAAATGTAATTGTTGTAGCTCATTTGATGTGCCTAAACTTCGACAAATCAGATCGCTTCTTAGAGATTAAGGGGCAAGTTGTCTCGTCGTCCCTCTCTTAAATTTGGGCACCCCGGTCGCACAACCCGACTTTTAGCCTCTAGTTTTATCAAAAATTCCTATGGGCTCGTTTGAGAGAAGTACTTCGGGTATTTTGTAATTTCCAAAGTACAGGACTGATCCAGAGTTTAATATCTCTTAGCAGCAAAACTTTTCCACTCCTTGGGGATCATAGCTTCCGAGGGTACTCTTGGACAATGAATACGACTTTGGCTTTGTTAGACTTTTGCATTTCTTTACTGTCTGGTATTTCTGCAATATATTTGTCGTCAGGTATACCTGTGCATACACTCTTTCTATTTACAACTGGGTATACTGCACCTTGCCAGAAAATCACTGGTTTCCTTCTTTTGTTAGGGAAACAAGGACGTACATAAACTCTATAATCGATCTGGAGCCTACTCTTTTTTTATATATATAGCTTTTATCTTCGCCAGCAAAGCTTCTCTTCTCCTCTTGAGTGAAGTCGTGGGTCGTTTCAATAACTGGGTTTGCTGATTTCGCCATATTCAATATTGGAGCCACTTGACGATGAGTGGATGCCGATAATAATATCTTGAAGCTTGTAAATATTAAAAAAAAATTTGAAATATAATAAAAATATGTATATTTTATTTATTCTTATTATCTGTTATATTTATAAGCTTCTTATTATTAACTTCATATTTTTTTATTTATAATATAACAAATAAATTTGTGACTTTTAAAAATACTTAAATATTCAGTGATTTTTATTATATATTAATAGAAAGTTTTCTTTATAGACAGTTATTTTTTTTATTAATGACCCCCATGATTGTATAGTCATAACTATATGCGATCCCGCACAACCATTTATTGGTGGACACAGAAGAAAATGTTATTTTAGAGCATTGGCGGTGAAATAAACTCAAATGAGATTAACCAGGGCTTAGTAAATAAGGCTTAAAAATGAGGTGATTCAAATGGTTACTAACATAAGATGAGATAATTGAAACCAACTCATTGCGCAATATGATAGATCAATAGTATATTAGAAATAGTGACCTTTATCTCACACAGTTTTTAAAGTTATGGTTGCCCTATTAAGTATAGAGTTAGGAGGTCTTCGTAATTTGGGCATACAAGTGGTTAATTGTTATTTTCAACCCCTCTTCCTTTTAAATAGAGTTTATAAGCTGGCTATATTTGTAGTATATCTAGCCAGCCAGCTTTTTTTAAAACAATTTACAGCCTGTCTTAATGGTTCTTTTACAGAACTAAGATGATAAGAAGGTTCTTGATATCATTGCTATAAACTCTTTCTGCGTGTGAGAATTTGTTTATCGTTAGTTGGGAAATTTCAGTTCGAAGAGCTCCAATTTAGGTTACGGAGAATTCAACAGCTAATTGAAAGTTAGTTATACAAGTGGCGCTTGCATATAGCAAGTAAGAGTCAATTCGATTAATTATAAACATGTTAATAATATGCTAGCGCAAGGAATGCATAAAACTTTTGAAATAACACATTTGCCCGAGATAATAATCTGTCGGATGTAGTACGAAGTTATTTAATAAAAAGAGTTCTGGTTTAACAGTAACTTAATTTATAATTTAGCAGCTATAATTTAATTGTAAGGGCTATGCGGAGGGGAGGTTTAATATTATCACTATTGATATTTTTGATTTTAGGCCCGCAGAGCCTCTAAAAGAAATCGGTGGAGAAAAAGAAGAAGGGTTTACAAAATAGGTCTGCGCTAGCACCAGAGGTTTAATTCTCTGAAAATTAATTTTCAAATTAATGGTATTGAAGATGGAAATTGCTGTATGCATGCCTCCTTACAACCTCTTCCAATTTGGTTTGCAAAATACACGTTTTTTTATTGCTCGTCCAATACAATCTTAAAATGACAACTGTTAACAACAACTTTAAAACTTTGTTAAGTATATGTAACTACCTGAGAGTGAAGGTTAAGGGCTAGCGTGAGCCATTAAAGCTGGCATAAACGCAGTTTTTTTTTTTTTTCTCTATCTTCTTGGTTTAAGTTACCCTCTGAGTGCGGTCTAGGTATTTCCTGTGCATATTTTGTACCGAATTAGTTTATTAAACTATATATGCTTTTCTTAGTGTTAAATGATTATAAGTCATTTCCTATACAGTGTCATCAATAAGAAAATAAATACACATACTCAAAAATTAGCAAAACAGGGGCACTCTTTTGGAGCGTGTATTGATTTGTCCCGCCTATATTACCTTTCCTTTTTTTTCCTCTCGATGAAAGTTCGTAGAAAAACCTGACGAAGTATTTTATGGAAGATATTTGTGCATGTGGGGACCAAAAAAAATCAAAAAATATATTTTGATAAATATAAATAAATTTGTATAAAGGAATTAATTTTTGTTTTTATACGCTACTTTGGTGCTTGTTCCGGCTCTCGGTAATTTTGGTAAATAAAAAATATATATTCAAACATTTTTCTAGCCATTTTTCATTTATTTTTTAACCATTAAAATGTTTAAAGCGCGTCGCTTTGGTGTTTTAATGACCGTCACACGCCTCATAATTGAGCTCTCTACCAGCAGTCCGCTAAGTGCGCTTAGATAGGTTAACTTTTCTTAAAAAGAAACGAAAATTTGCTTTTGAAGCCAGCAACTTAAAGGTTCTGAAGTAAATATTTGGCCATAGCTTTACGGACGTTAATGGAGGCCTTCAAAGATACGGAGTGAGCTAGAAAAAAAAATTCTCGTTATATCGTCTCTGATTAAGTTATAAATTACGGTTAGTTTGTGGTTGCGTTACGTTTGTTATAAGAGGTTAATATGAGTTAACTATTATTGCATAAACCACGGCATCGTAATAAATGCGAAATAGTTACTTGGTTTTACACTAGTAGACTGTAGTACAATCGCCGAGTTATAAGCGTATAATCAGTTATTTACACAATTCTTATAGCCATTTTTTAATCTCAGTCACTATATATCATTGGTGGTATAATTAAGGTTCTCGATGGTAGACATTACTAAAATTCTTATTAATTGCACCTTACTGTTTGCAGGGTTAATTTCAGGCTAAAACAATTTCAAATGCGCCCCGCGAGGCATGCTTTACGCTAGAGACCTTCCTCCAGCAAAAAGTAGTTAGCTTTCCCATAAACACTATAAATTAAATTTATAATTAGGATTAACTTAGCAATATATAGCAGAAAGATTTAGTAAGGCTATTATTTAATAAAATTTTGACCAGATTACTAAAAATGGGTTCAAGTAAGCAAAATCTGTAAGCGAATTATTTAACATAGCTAACATGGGGTACGAAAAGATGACGATGACCTGTCAACTAATTTAATTTCTCTCAGAGAAAAATAAGACTTTTAGGCTTAAAAAGTTTGGTATACTAGCAGCTTGTAAATTTGACAACTTGCTTTTTAATATGGGTTTCACTGACTTTTCAAAGATATCTATAGTATAGTTTAAAAAGGGAAAGCTGTTATATATGCAAGGAGGCTGACGATATGAGAACTAATTAGTAACTATGAGTTCCAAATTATAATAAAAAGCTACCATAAGAAAAATAATTCTAAAATATAATTTTCTTTAATATACTATTAAATTGTGTTAGGACTTGCTACCTTCATAAACGATTTTCGGCCCCCTTAAAACGTGCGTCCACTTTTCGACGCGGTGGGAAATATAACGGATTTAGAGTTCACATACTCTGATTCGAGTTCGCCAGCCCCAAGAAAATGATAATTAACCGAAGATGGAAAAATGTGAAAAATAATAAAGTCTATGTTAATCATTTAAAATAAGAAGGGGGTTTTAAGACTACAAGGTCATAGTCCTTTTACAGTCAACAGAAAGTTTCATACCAATCTTTAATAGCTTTCTGCACTTCCATAATCACTATTAGTAATAATCTCGTATTTACGCACATGGACGAAATCCATAGCGGACCCAAGTACATAACACTCTTTCTATCCAACTAGCAATTGAAACGATTAAATTTAACGATATATCAAATCTTTCTTTTGCACGTTAACCGCTGCAAAAAGTGTTCAATATACTTTAGCCTTCATTTAATCGCTTTACGAGTAATCTCACCTAATTTCGTTTAAGTTTGTCTTTTCTTCAATCTCAAAGCTCTCTCCTTCAGTGCTATTGACTCTCCAAAAAAAACCAAAATTCTTCGGAGTGTCTTCCCTAATCACAACAATTTCTCTGACAAGCGCGCGAATCGCATTAACTAAGGGCGTATTCTTTTAAACATTCAAATTATCTGTACATTTTTAAAGCTCTTAAAATGTAATGACACATAATTCTGAAGATATTAAAACCTTTTCGGTGCACAGACGCTAGACTTACGAAACTCCTGACTACTCTCGTGTCCTCTTAAATATAGCAATAAAACTTCTTCAACTTACCCACAATAATACTATACCTTATACTACATGAACATAATTATCAAACCATAACATTTAAAGGGATTAGGAAAAGTAATGGAGACTTCAAAATGAGGACAGGATAATCTGGATTTATTTGTGTGCAACAAAATACCTGAAAACCGCAGAGAAGAGTTTTGAATATTAATGCTGGAAGGCACTAGACTAATCACCACTTTATAACAATCAAAATAGAGTATGTAAACTTATTTTTGATAACTATATAGGCTATCATTATAGATACGATTATCCCAAACTATCCGATTAAAATTAGAAAGGTTAACGTTTGTTCCGGAAAAAGTACAAAGCATAACCATCATAAGTTATAATGTTTGACCTTTTTTCCAATAAAGGTCCATGCAACTCCTGATTTCGTAGTTAATTTAAATTCGTAGCAGTTCGTATTGGTCAATATCTAAATCTTCTTCCACGCTTCTTCCCTTAAAAGTAGTACACTATCACACGAGTGTATAGTAGTAAAATTAGGGAGTTCATTAGAGGTTAACGCTAGCACAAGTGTTTTATAAAGTATAGTATAATTTAACGAAAGCTCTTTTATTAAGCTATTCCGGGTTAATGGCGGTCCAACTTATTTACAACGAGCAACCTGACGGGAGGCGGTGAGTGAAAGTATAAGCTTGTACTCTCACTTATGGGTCTTTCGTTAGTTTTATCTATGTTTCAAGTTAAAAACATTAAACCCTCGAGCTTTCAAATAAGCGTAACCGTTTACAAGTACAAGTTCTTATTTTATAATATAGGTTATATCCTTCGCTACAATTTAAATTCACAACTTTCCATTCACCTATCACTCTAGAGCTAATGATTGTACTTCTTATACTACATCCTAGGTCATTTATCAAGTGTAGATCAATCTTACAAAATCTATTTGCTTTGTCTAAAACTTATTAAATAGTACTTTGGTCCCACATATATTTGGCGTGTGTTAGATTAATGTCATCATAAGTAATTTAAAGCCTTCAGTACGTAGACCTTACCCTTATGCTCTTCTTTAAGTTCTTAAACACTTAGCTAAGTTATTCTACTTGACTATAGACGCTCTTCCTAAGTAGGTTGATTCTTTTTCTTATATGTTCTGGTTATGTATAACATCAAACAGTTTTTTGCAAACGTTGTAACGCTGTGTTAAATTTTGTATATCCACCAAGACAACCCTTAAATCTTGATAGGGCGTCAACTTCTTAACCGGTTAAAGGTTTAACAGCAGTTATGAGTTAAAAATATAATTAATCGGCTTTAGATTAAGGCCGCCCATATTACTTGGATCCGCAACTTCATGTTTGAGGGTGCTTTATTTATTTTCAATGTCTTTTTTAAAAAATCAAACCCTCAAAGAAGAAGGCGAGTTGTGAAAGTTACATATTTGATTAGGTGGAATTAACTTGTGCCAGCTTTCCAGGGGAGGCTAATTGAAACTTCTTTCGTTGTAGTAGCGAAGCAAGTTATCCTTTTATTATATTTTACATTACAAAAGCGTTAACTCGAATTAACTCAAAGTGTACTTCCGTTGTAATAGCGAAAAACTGGAATTCTCTTATTATTCTTTGTTAACGAAATAAGAGAGTGTTAACTAAACCAAACTTTTATTTTTGTAATCCTTATTTTTGTTAATCAGTGGTATTAATTAACATTAAAAAACAATCCCCGGCTACACTAAAATGAAGTAACTTTACATTCAAAGACTTATATGCTTAACAGCAGCAACCCTTAAACAGAAATTGGACAAAAAAAATGGTGGGGCCTGACCAGCCTGAGCACGTGTGGTTTGTGTTACAATGCTAATATGCTAACGTAGTAGTTATAGTAGCATGACAACTATACTATCTTCTTTAATGTGGACAGCTAGATTTATTTATCTATGATCACTAAAACTTTAATAAATCCTAAATGTTATCGAAATGGTGCATTATCTAAAAAAAGGTGTTAAATGGAAGCAGAACTATAACGCAAAAAAGGTAGTAGGAATTTATTAAAATTCGCTGTTAACGGAGGCTTTTCTGTTAGAATGAACATTAAATGCATACAGTATGGAGGAAAAGAAAGCAATAAAGCCGATTATCAAAGGCCATAAAAAATAATATTGAAACTGCCATGGCGCAGTAACCAATTTTTTAACATCAGCAAAACAGATAATACTTATGAGGAGTCCGACTAGCCTAAAAAGTTGGTCATTAATATCTAAACATTATTAAATCCTATAAAAAAGTGGCACCCGCAGAAAGGAGAAAAGTAAGCCGAAAAAGGTAGAAGCAACGACAAACTCGTTAGAAGAACGCAGAGGCTTAAAAAGGCAACAGAGAAGGATAAAAGTATTAAATCTATATAACAGTAATAATGAATATCAAAAAAAATTTAAAAAAAAATCTGAAATTAAGAAAGGAAGCACTTACTTAACAAAAAATTACTTTTTCTATAAAAGAAAAATGCATTACCTTTTCTATAATCAATGCAAATTTTTTTGGAGGTGTAAACAGCTAAGTTAAAACAATTAATGGAAGAAGAAATAAAGTTATTATATGTAAAAAGAAAAAATAGAATCAAATTAAAAAAGTTTTCAATATAAAAATGAAGCGAGTTATATACGAAAAAAAAAGAACTAGATAAAATATCAAGCGTCTGGTCCTCTCCCGAAGACGGCTATAAACAATAAGAATGCTTTAGGGAATGAGGCAGTTTAAGATAGAGTTAAGAGAACTCGTTGCACCTGCCAAAAAACAAAAGGAGAAAGCATAAAACAACCTGTGAAGTACTTCGAGGAAAGGGTGGATTTTCTTGATCCTCAGTTTTTATATTCTTATTATTGACAATAAAAATTTTTGTAAAAAAGCCAAAAACAGTTAAAATAACGGAACAACTTATACAAAAAATTACTAGAAAGGCTAAGAGAACTCGTTGTACCTGCCAAAAAACAAAAGGAGAAAGCATAAAACAACCTGTGAAGTACTTCGAGGAACGGGTGGAATTTCTTGGAGATCCTCAGTATTTAGATACTTATTATTAAATAACAATAAAAATTTTTGAAAAAAAGTCAAAACAGTTAAAATAATGGAACTTCCTTAGTAGTGAAGCAAAAGTACAAGAAAATCAATTGAATACTAGCAGTATCGCTATAAAAATAAAGTAAAGAAAGTAACCTTTATTGTAGGACATAGATGAAAAGTTAAAGTTGAAAAAGATAAACCCTGCGAATAAGTTAAAGATGATAATCCCAACAGCGGAACCTCCCACCATGTTATATTAATTCTAACAAAATTGTCAAAATTTACTATCAATACCTCAAAGCTAGCAAACGGGAAGTGAAATAATAAGGCTGCTCCAATAAGTGCAAGAAGCCATAAACAGATAATAAAGCCGTATAACACTCCAGAAAATCTGGAGATACCAGATGAACTAGACATAAGAGTACAAAGTATAATAATAAAAACTGAAGAGGATACGCTCTATATCTGCTCATTTATAGTATATTATATTAGTAAAAAAATGAAACAGCAATTTGCGTTAAAAACTAGCATTTTTTATTAATTTTAACGAATCCGATACGAGTCTGTCCATTCATTTTAGCAGAAAAACTGGGATAGTAAGCGATACAGCTAAGAATAATGAAATCTTAACATTAATATGGATCAGCAATTAACAGTATAGTTAAAACTACGCGCTTGCCCGTGACTAAAAATCTCTCGATTTAATGCGAAGCACTTTTATGGAAGATATTTGATTTTGCTTATTTCTTGTCTAGTTACTTAAGAGACGCTAGTTTTAACAAAAGTACTTGGCGTATTACAGTCAGAAACAATAGTCAAATTTTATAATTGTTGGAAAGGCGTAAGCAACTATATAAGAGTGTGTCACGCGACGGTGGTATTGTGCTGTTTAACTATCCTTTCGTGAGAGCTCCTCCTAACTGCTCCTAAAGAGTATGTGTGGCGGAGAGTATCATTATAGCGCAGAAGGCACGACGTCTACGTTGGAAGGTTCGATTAATTTATTTTGTCGCGCTTGACGCGAGGGCTTTATTGCTAAGGAGTGGTAAGCCCAGACTGCATATGCGTATGTCATTACCGGCCGAATGCACAACACATACAACTTTCGCTTATAGTGCAACGAGACCGTGTTATGGCTACACAATTGATTGATGATATAGAGCTTGAGGTCCCTGCCTTGACATTTGCCACCACAACAGAGTAGATTTCGTTATCCCCCTATATATGACACCGCGTAATACCATTACCAGCTTTGGCAGCTCAGTGTGTTTAGTTTATAAAAAACGCCTTACTCTTTGCTGCATTTATAAGGAGACTCTATGACGACATCAGCTAGCAAGCGCGTCGAGTTAACGCTGTAGATGTTATTGTAGTAGGACGGTGACTTTGACACTAATAACTCATCGTACCGTCGGCGTAAATGGCAACCCGCGTTGGGAGATAACTGGAAGAGGCTTGTAGCCTGTATAGAATGCGAATAGCAGTAGTAATAGAAGAGAGTTTTACGGGACCTCAAAATTGTCAGGGTTACTTGCCATCTCAGTCAGGACACTGCTAACTACTTTTATATGGTCTTTGTTGTATATAACTATCATACAACAATTTATTATATCATATCCAACTAACTTTTTTTTAAGCTTTAGCTCAAGTGTGGAACAGTACTTGTGTAAAAGTACTATAAATACACACGAAGTATAGGTTTATAAAAAAGTAATTTTTTTTTCTCTCTCTCATTTTGCCATCGTTGCCTTATTTTGTGCATATTACTTATGTAGTATATGTGCATTTTAACAGCCTTCAATAGCTTTCACTTCATGATACTAAATAGTTAATATTATTTATAGGTAAGGACCAGGTTTAAAACACTAAAAGCAAAGATCGAAAAGAGTCCCGTCGGTAAGAGCTAATTCTACGACCTTAAGCTTAGCGTCAATAGTCTTGGCTTCCAAGCTACAATGAAAACTTACAAACCCTGTGCATAATTAACCTTATTATTTCACTTACATTATCTAATGATCCAATCAGATAATTATTAGAAGACTGGACAAGCAGTCTACCCGATCAGGCTCCTTTTACTAAGTACTAAGTACTAAGTACTTTGAAGAATTTAGTAAATATTCTTATTTTTTTTTTGTACTTAAATCGACGGCATCTTTAAAGGCATTGCAATTTTTTTGACAGTCAATTAACATTTGGACTGTTTAAAAATCACCTGTCTCCAGACTGTTAACAGGGTGAACACACTAATATAAAAATACTAATAATAAAGTGTTATTAAAACTTCAAATAGTAGAAGATATACTAGTAAAAACATATATAATGAAATACAAAAAAGGTGTGATAATATTGCAACTCACTCGAATCTTTACTTTGTGATAACTTTATTAAATTTTAAAAAACTTTTTATAAGGTTAATATTAAGGAAAACTATGGATATATATTTTTAAATTAAAAAATAGGTTTTGAATAGAAAAAAACTTTACAAAGCGATGACCTTTATTTTTTTAAGAAAGTTGTCTAGTCGATGGCTTATATTGGGTTATGTTTGATCCCGTGTGGCCTACTGGTCAGGCTTTAGGGCGTATACAAAGTTTTAAATGAAAAGGAAGAAGTCCGTTTATAGAATATCTTTTTACTAACACTCTAATAAAGATGGCTTGACCTGGGAGTCGTTAAATATACGTAATACTAGTTCTAAAGGCTCAAAAAAAACTAATGGCAAGCTGCAACCTTTCTACCCAAATATTAAAGTAAAAATATACCTTACTTATGTATATTACATTACAAAAAAAACATTATTTAGAGCAGCAAAGAAAATCTCAGTAGTTTAAAACCTTGACGGAGACTTAAACTCAGGGCAACACCCATTGTTCATTACTAAGATATTAAAAAAATGGTAGACGAAGGTACATAATAAAACGACTGTTTACATTCAAGGTATGATAAAAAAACAACTTTTTTTTTTATGGTTGTTAATTCGTTATTGAAGACTGAAACTAAAATATATATATTTTACAAAGTAAGAGGGTTACGGAACTTTTAGTAATGTTTTTTCTAATTTTATTTCACTATGGGTGATAGAGTTTATTTTATGTAATTACCAGATAATATTGTTAGTCCCCATAAGATAATGTATTAATTTAAAAAACTATGAACTGATGGTTATATTAGTTTTAAAAAACTGGCTTATTAAAAATTCACCTCATTAACCCGAAGCCAATGAAACGGCTTTTTGTCTTACTGGAAACTTTTCTTTAATGCAGCATGCTTTTTGTGTGAGAAAAATCAAGTAAGAATTTTAATTATTTTTAATTAATTATGACTCTCAACAAATATAACTCAGTTATTAGTCTAAACTCTAGCGATGGCACCAATTTAGAATTCTAACTTAATAATAAAAGAAGGATCCTCAGTTTATTAATTATTAATGCTGTACAGAACCAACGACCAGGTTAAGTTCTCGGGTGCAGATGCGAAGTAGCTTATTAAACTGAACTCTTTTTAGTCTACTTTTCACTTTTAGTAGTAGGCGCTGCACCTTAGTGCAGTCAGACCTAGGATTACTAATTTATATGGATGTTTTACTATATAAACTACTGTAAGGTTTTACTTTAGTAGAACAAATAACCTACTATCCCTTCAACAACGCTAGCTAGCTAAATGTTCTACAAAGGTAGAAACTAGGTATGTCTCTCCCTTTACTATCCTTTATTTCTTCAACTGCTTGTTAGTTGTTGAAAAAAGTACCCTGTCGAGTGTATAAATATATCTACCGGTTAATAACACTTTAATTTTTGTCCCTTGCCAAAGAGTAGCTAATTTCCTAGAACTGAACCAACACTAGCGCCGATTAACTTTAATTTTTTTTAAAACTATAAATTATATTATAAGTAATAGTAGACACCCTGAAATAACTTATAATGACAAGCTCTTGCTCTTGCCTTAACTAACTAATATTTTACACATTTTAAAATGTTAAAAAAAGGAGGGAAAAGAGCTTGACGGCATAAAAAAAATTCATGTTACTAAAAAAAGGGCAGGGATTACCATAACTGTATTCCTAAATTGTAAAGGTAAAAATATATCCTTTTTCACATGGGTCGAAGTTACAATAAAATTTGTTAAATAAGATAAAATAGCAATACTTTAAATTCAAGAGGCTTATAATACTTTTTGGTTAATCGGAAGTTAAATAAAGTTTCCAATATAACTGCAAAAAAACCTACTAGGAGACTAACAGACGTTTTAATAACTAACCTGCTGGGCTATAGTTCCAAGAATCTAAAAGATCTTCAACAATAAAGGTCACAATTTGTGGGGACAACCCAACTCATATATTTAAAACAAACATGAATTTTATTTAAGAGGAGTGTATAGCTTTATAGCGTACTTAACTAAGTGAGTGCTGAAAGTCTTTAATAGCCCGTTCAGAAAAGCAAACTGGAGTTTTCTTCTAAAATAAGCTTTAACTGTTTAAAATTTTCTTTGCAGCTTTTAGGCTCTTTAGTAATGTATACGCCCTCTAGACGTTAAGCTACTATTAAACTATCCTATAGACAGTTACTGACAACGCTCTGTTCGACCCTATAAACAAAAACAATATATTAAACTTATCCTCTAGACGGGGATAGAGCTAAAATTTCTTTAAAGCCCCATGGACTGGAGAGCCGTTACATACAAAGAACAAAAATCTCATTGTTTATTAAGGTTAATATGAATATATATATATATATATATACACTATTTTAAAAATAATCTTGACGGATTGAATCTTATGTTACCAGTCAAAGTAGCTTGTTATTTTCGAAGCCTTTAGTTATTTTACATAGCACTTAACATTAAAAATTGCTTCTACCTTCTTTTTCCCTAAGCATTTTTTATTTTTTTTTAACATGAATTTCTTATAAATAGTAATTAACTTAAAATATCGTAAACTTAAATTAATTAGTCGTAAATTTGCAGATCTGTTGAATAGTTTATTGAATTCAATATTTGTTTACCTTGAAGCTGTTTCGCGCCAGCCCTCGCATGGTACCTCGACAATATGGTCAAACGTGAGTGCTTACGGTTAGCTTTCACTCCTGCTGTTGCGTTGACTTATTTGTTCTACTTAATTTATTTGTTAATTAACAATTTTTCTTTATTAAATTATTAAATTTTATAGAACCTATTTTATAACTTTGTACAAGTTGTACAGCTTTTGCGGAAGTTCATAGTTGTGGTCCGATCTGGCCTAACAGTTTGAATATTCCCTAAACTTTATATACCTTTTGTTTACTTAGTCTTTTTAAAGTTTCAATTCTTTGCTCCTTGTTGTTCTATTTATGGGAGAATTAATTAAATGAACTAATAGGTGTGAATCTACCTCCTTAAATTTATATTAAAAAACTGGGATGGCGTATTTTTACCTTGAATAGTTTATATACTACTTTTATTAATAGTCTACTGCACTCCACTTTAATAAATTAGGAAGCTTAAAATTATTGTATGACTAGTTAAAGAATTAAGCTCTACGTAATCGCTTGAATGGTAACCCTCTTTATAGTGTAAATTTCCTTATCATACTAAGTATACCTCTCTGCAGGACTTAAACGATATTGCAAAGGGGTTTACCAAAAAATATTACGATGATTTTCAAAAACTACGTCACGTAATTTAGTTTGTATTGGCATTAATAAATTTAAATAATTTATAATTGTTTAAACAGAGTTTAGATCGCCTTTACATCGATGATGCTTTTCTTATATGGAATGGACATGGTTTTGTAGGAAAAACTGCCATCTTAGAGTTTTATTTAAAAAAAATACCAAAAGTGCGGTATCAGTTACAAACTGTCCAGTGCCAGCAGTTTCAACCTGGTTTTTTATTTATTTCATATAAATATATTTTTAAATCAATTTAATTGGTTTCTTACAAAAAAAATATTTCTGGCTTATTGTTAGATTACTTACTTTATATTACTATTTATTTATAGGAGCTCTTATGTTATTAGTTGTGGGAAACGTCACTTATGAAACAGATAAACACTCGGAGAGATTTAGATTCACAGAAACTTTTTTTATTGTAGTTGTTTTGCAAACTTTTACACTTTTTACTATCTAACTAAAACCATTAATTTATAAATTTTAATTATTATTGTAAACGTGTTAAACAGTTCAACAGAAAATATAGTCGATCTTTTTTTAATTTTAATTTTTTTTGGAAAGTGATAGTTTACTTTAGAGTAAGTTATATATAATATTTTGTACAATTTAAGCGAACTTATGTTAATTATATTTATCTTTGTTACAGTGCGAATTATGTTATGATAAAAAAGTCTCGTTTACTTATAAAATGTTTGTGATTAGTTTAAGCGAATTCTTTAAGTTAACTTTACTCTTTAAATTTATTTTTTTATCAGTTATAAACTTTTTGAAGATTAAAAGTTTTACTGCCCCTAAAGTTAAATTTTTAAAGCAAAATAAATTCTAATTTTAGGTGCACAACCACCTGGGAGACTTTTTAATCGCTCGAAATGTGTTTCGCTTTTTTTAAAATTCTTAAAAATAAATTTTTTAATCATTTCTTTGTCATTTTGTTATTACTCCAGTTTTTTAAATTCAAACTTCGCCAAACTCATTTTCATAATAATTCAAAGCTCGAGCGAGCGACACTTTGAGGCCGTCGCAAATCTAAAGGGTCATAATAAAAATAATGACTCTAATAATCAATAAAAACATAATAACATGTGCTTCTTCAGGAGGAAAATCTTTCATTTTAGTTTCAACTTTTCGATTAATCTTCTTCAGCCTTTCATAGGTTTCTTTTATTCTTCCGGGATTTATCTATTATTATATAAACTGTGTTGGATAGAAAATTCACAGAAAAAAACTAAATTAACTTTTATAAATTATAACTTTAAAAAATAAAAAAGTTGAAGTATAGAAAAACATAAAAAACGGAAAACTTTATAAGAAATGTAAAATAATTTTTTTTTTCAGTGGTTAGTTTAGCGAAACGGTCACTTCTTATTGACTATGCTTAACTCACGTGCTTGACAATATACACAATGCATTTATCTTCGCTCTTTTTTAAAACAATAATAATTAATAAAAGCAATAAATTTAAAAAATTCCTAAATAATATAAAATATGCATAATGTGAATATTAAAGAAAAATAATAAATACTTTTATTGACTAAAATGTTAATAATAAAAAGGAAATAAATCATGTTTGGCTTATAATATAAAATAAAATAGAATTATATAAAAAAAAATTCTATGGTGTTATAATAATAGACTTTAATATAAAAAATGAGTCGAATCTTATAATATTTATAAAAACTAATGAAAGTAATAAAAAATCTACTGGTTTTCGTTAATTACAAAATAATAGAAATGGAATGAAATTTAAATGAATTAATATAAAATTGGAAAAAAAAAATTGTAAAAAAACTGACACGTGTCGAAACTTTGGAAGAAGTGATGGATCCCCAGAAGTGCCGTAAAAGTTCTTGCACAAACTTTTGATAACGATTGGCTCTTTCCAGATTTTCGGGGGAAATTTTTTCTTCTAAATAATGATAATGATAATAATAATAATAATTACTGAAAAAAGTTTACCCCTAAACTTGAGAGATTCCGTTTTGGTTAACTGGTATAAAATCGAGACCGCACCCTCTTCTAAAAAACCTTTACAAAATAATAGTAGTTATAATAATAATTTGTAATAATAGTACTTGTTTCGCATAAAGTTGGGTTCCAGGTTTGTATTTTCTGAATGAAATTCTGGATGTCTACAGAAAAGTCGTCTTTCTATTAGTAGAAAATAACAAAAAATTTTCTTAAAAGTATAGGAAAAAAACAGAAAAATCCATCCACGTGGCTGTCGGGAGAATTAACAAAGGAAGAGCAGTAGCGATCCCCGTGCCTTATTTCGAGTGGTTTTGCTTGAAAACTATCGCGCAGCAGCTGCCGTTATTAATTATTTATTATTTCCTATTGTTTTTATTATGATGAATACTTCGCCTTCTGCGTTACTGTTTAAGCTTTCGGCATATTCTTGCTGAAGGATTAGGCCAGACATTGCATTTACTTGCCTTATTTTGCTATCAACTTCACCTTTTTCCTCTTCATAATAACCCTGAAATTTTTTTTTATTAATGAAAAATAGTATAATATAAATATAAAAGGAGCTGTAAAACTTCTTCTTTGAGACTTCCACTTTCAAACGGCTGTGTGTTCCTTAACAGGTTATTCTGTTTCACATTCAAAAGATTCATATATCCTTTAACAATAAAAATAATACTATAATAATATTTTAATGTAGTAAAGTAAAACTTTGATGCTCGGCCATTAGACAATCGTGGAAAGAGACTTCTGCCCCTTCGACTATTCCGGTACCTCGTGACTCATAAACCAGTACTGACTCGATAAAGTTCTTCCAAAAGGTTTCTTCAGAAATCTGAAGGCCAGTTTCATTATTGGATTGAACAAAACGGTTAGATTTTTGTCGAATAATATTGCCCAACAGAAAATGTTTATGATAGTTATATTTTATAGCGGCTTGGGCAGATATGACCGGCTCTCAGTAAAAATGTTTCATTGCTTTTAAAAATGACGTCCGACCAATCAGTAAGGAGTTGTGCTTAACTACATGACATTTAAAAACTTTGGTGAACCCATGAAGAAACCAGCTGGCTTTCCTTAACTACTCAGACGCGTGCCTATAAAGTACTTCTTCGTATACAGTTTACGACTCTATGAAAGCCAATCAAGTTTACTGATACAAAATAAGAAGGGTGCTGATTGAGTGGAGACGGTAGCCATAATAAGTTGATAATAATAAAAAACTACAGAGCAATAATAATACCTTCGAAATATTTTCATCGTATTTCTGTTTCACTATTAAAATAGTAATTGGGTATAGTTAATGCATGCAGTAAAGCAATAACGAAAATAAGAAAAAGCAAGAATAGCATTGCTTTTTCGGTGTTGAACTTAACATTTTACATTTTAATAATTACTCATATTTATTGTATAAGAATGAATTGTAGCCCAATGAACCTTTGTAAAAGTGTACTAGAAATAGTATATGTAATGTTTAATAATATATATATAGAACAAATATTAAAATTTTTAAACACATCCGACTACAAAATATTTACTTTAAGCATATAAAAAAGTTTTTATTGGTCAAGAAAATAATTTATAATATATCTAATTGGTTAATTTCATATGTTGCGAACATGATGTAGAGTTCAAGCTTTTTTAATAAATTTTAGTTTGTCAAAAATATATACAACACGGTTCTTTGTTAGATAAACTATTAAGTTAGTATTTCAATAGTACTATTAAGTACAATAACAATAAAGAAATAGCAGCAGAAATATAATAATAATAACCGGTTGGATACACCCTAAAAATAGATTGTATAAGTGAAGAAGTCAAGCGGACTTTGATGGCTCCATTCACGTCTTCTTTTATCATGTTTCTTAAAGCAGTAGTAATAATAATAAGAACATAGTAAATAAATAAAAACAATTACTTAATATCGCTCAGTAATGAAGCCGAGACGCCCATGCGTAGCGGTGGAGTTTCTTGCACGGCCTCTTCCTAAATAATAAAATAATTGTAAAAATAACTAGTATTAATAATTATTATCTATATGAGTTTACTATAATAATATATTAAAAAGAAAAAAAATAGTTTAAAGTTTACTTTATAAAACTTGAAAAACGAATTTGACCACGACTGTACTCAAAATAATGAATAAATTATGTAATAAATGAAATTACCAATCGATGCCTTGAAAATTTTTTTTCAGGGGGAAGTCTTAACTATTTGTTGGCAAACGTTAAATAATAAATTATAATAGGCCAATTTTAAAGTAAAGGAGAAGCGCTTTGGCTGGTTAATTCATTAAAAATTTTGCAATGTTATCAATGTTTTAGCAATAAAAATTATAACCAATAAAAAAGGGTATACGAATATACCATAATGAAAAGATTTAAGATTTATTTCTAATATATAAACTTTCTTTAAAAATAGAACATCGACATAACCCTCAAATAACTATAAAATAGATAGATTTTATAATCCATTATGTTCATAATAATAAAAAACGGGAAAAAAAATTAATGTTGGCTAAGGAAAAGACACTTTCTGGCTGAACCAAAATGAACTGTCCGAGAGGACATCCGGCACCAAGTCCTATTAAACAATAATTCAGGATTAAAATAATAACAATACTAATAAAATAATTTTTATACGTTACGAAAAATATTTATAAAAATGTTAGCCAAAAAAAAAATAAATTAAGCCAATAACAGCCTATTTTAGAGAAATGATTCAGTCACCAAAAAAACTTCTCAGCTAGAGAAACCACCATTCAAAAAAATTTATTTTTAATCCGCTTATCATTGAAGCTTTTCTCTTTAGAACAACCAATCAACAGCCAGGGTCGCTTGTCTAAAACATGCGCCGGTTCTTTTTTAAGTACCTGGGGAGCAACGGTCCAGCTCACGTCGCGCTCAAAAATTTTATAGTTCTCATCTTTGTTTAAAGACAATCATATTTGAGAAAATAACTTCAGAGTACTGATATTAGTACATCCATAATAAATTTTGAAAATCAATATTAAAGTTACTGAATCATAATAATTTATGTTATACAAAATTATTATGACTCACTAAAAAAATCAAAAAAATAGTTTTAAATAAATTTTAACATTAATTCAAGACTCGTTTCTACCAAAACTTCCAAACTTTATACTTAACAAAATTTAATTAGAAATTATAGTAACTTCCCCCTTAAAATTACATATAACTTTCCCGTGTGGAAAAATTTATAAATTAAGTAATGTAAGAACTTTACGGCAAATTTTTTTTTATTTATAATAAAATAATCAGCAACGTTTATGTATTAAAAAGCCGCTGTGATAAAAAAGGTAATTATAAATCCTGATCCCAAGTCAATGATAAGATATATTATATAACATAAAAGTTAAGTCTCTTGCGTGGTTATTTATATTATGCGTTGGGAAAAGAAGTTCAAGAACGTTGTAAATTTATTAAAAAATATTTTTAAAATAACAGTTTTAGCTAAATTAAAAGTAACTATTATAATCTAAAATCTGCGTTTCTTTAATGCATAAAGAAAATTTCAAAGTAAAATAATTAAATTGTATGATATAAAAAAATAGCTGCGCTCAACATTATTTTTGATTAAATGAAAATTTATAATTAAAAAAAAGTAGTTTAGGTTCAGCATGCAGATAACAAAGTTCCTTCACAATATTAAGAGAGAACAAAAGTAATTATTTATATATTATATATTTTAACAACGAAAACTATAAGTAATTATTTATATATTATATATTTTAACAATGAAAACTATAAAATAATAAAAATCAAATTTTAGTCGAAGTCGAATTCTGATCGAAATTTTTTCAATGTAAGTATATAATATTCTAATACATCCTAATAATATAAATATATTCACTTAATAGATTGTATCCATTTCCGTACATAAAAAAAACTAGCGAAAGAGTTTCATAAGGTTAGCACCAAGAATCAGTGAACAAATATAGTTAATTATGCGGAATTACCTGATACACACTTAGCCCTGACCTCCCATCATTTGTAATATTAATTAATTAGGTTAACACAATAAACAGTCAGGTATTCTATATTCACTTAATAGATTATACCCATTTCCGTTCATAAATAAAAATGATAAACTTATATTTTTGGTGTAACAAATTATCATTTTTGTAACTCGCAATTTTAAAAATTAATGGTATATAAAATTGAAATTAACCTGATGAAGCTTTCTTGTTTCCTCGTTTTCTGTTAAGGCTTGAATACGCTCCGCTTGAGTCGTGTTTAATTTAGACTTTGTAACTTCCATATTCTAAAAAGAGAAAAAGAGGCTAATTATAAAGTGACTATAATTATATAAATATATTTATGTAAATTAATAGATTTCTAACTTAAAATTTAAGTAATAAAAAGAATATATTTAGTGTCGGTGATTTATAGAGACTTGCGTTAATGAAAAACTTTGAAGTTTAAAAGTTAACCCCCTGTCTGATAGCTATAGCCTCAAGAATCCATTTGTAAAAGGTTAATTGGTCTTCTTCGTTGTCAAAAGTAAAAACTTTTTCTTTATCGTCTAAGAAACGAAACCTTACACGAAAAGGTTCCTTATCGCTTTTTCGAATTTCTAATTAATAATTAATATCAGTCAGTTTCTTTAATAGTTAGTCGAGCGTTTTAAAGAAGCTAAATACGCACTAATAATAGCTGAGACGGGACATTGACCTTTCGAGTTATCATCATACTCCCATTTTACAGTAAATGTAGAAACATAGAGTTTTCCTCTAATAATAGTGTTTAGTCTTTTACTCTTGGTAGAGATCGGACAAAGCAGTAGTAGTGTCTCGGACATAAAACTAGTAAAGTACTTTCCACTCCAACGGGGAAGGGGACGTTCACTATGACCGTTTTGCCGTCAAAATACCCCCAGGCATGCCCTTGTTAGATTCTTGAACTATAGTTTCCATATGCTAAAAGAGTCTTTTCGTAAGCCGTCTATACAAATGCTGTAAACAATTATATCAATCAAAATTAAGTCGCCATTAATGTTCTATTTTATTCATATAAGCTAATATTTATTAATTAATTGGGACATGCATCATAAGAACGTGATAAGCTTGTAAACAATAAAATTGTCCCTGAGAAAAAGACTTAAGATTTAAGATTTTTCTATGGATGTGAGCAAATAACGACCCCATCCGCAGTGCTATGTTCAAGAAAAGAACTGTTATTTTTAGTAAAGGAATTTCCTCAACTAAGCGCTACAAGGACCTAATAACCCCTTTCCTTCCTAATTTTGGTTTCTCCAGTTTACTACTTGTTAAGTTTCTTATTTTAAATATGGGTCTGTCTCTTTTATAAAAAATGTTAAAATTTAGCTTTTAAATTTATTTTCAAAATCTGTTAAATTTTATATCTAAAAATGGAAACTTCAAAAAGCGATTTATAAAGTTTAAAAGACGTCAAGGTGCGCGTTTGCATCATAAAATTAACCTTACAAATAAATTAGTTATTTGTAGGTAAAGATGCTTAAATATAACTGTGAACGGTTCTTTAACCGCATTACTTCCACTAACCGTAACTTAGAAAGAGTGTGTTTTTAACTATTTGCGTCCACCTAGTGAGGGAGATATACAAGCCAAAACTATCCTCTCTTTTACCCAGGCAAGTACTATATCCCATAACCGTGACTTATCGAATACCAAAGGGTCATACTGGCCTATTATTATTGTAAATAAAAAATATATAATTTGTTGGCGATATCATTTTTATTGCAACGAAAGTTTATTATACATTTATGCTTCTACAGTACATTTCGGGCTGTTGTGCTCTTCACCTTTTCCACAAAGAAAAGCGGAGCACTTAAATCTCACTGGGTCAAGCTGACCCGTGGGTCGTAGCTGAGATCAAAAAGGGTTAAGTTGTTGAGAGCCTTTAACAGTACTGAAAAGAACAGTTTAATTAAAGAACCAGAGGTAGTTTCTTCCTCTTTCTCGAGGTTTTCTGGAACCTAACTCCCCTCGGACTTTATTCAAAGACGAGCCCTATCTAACGTCTAAGACCTTCTGGATCTCAAAGACATTGAACTTGTCCCATTTAAACACTACCCGTTCCTTTACAAAGCAATGAGCTTTTAAGCTGTAATAAGTAGCGTAAAAGCTACCGTACACTAAAAGGGACGCCCGGTAATGGTATTTGTTACAATAAAGATTGCAGGTATGACAGTAGTTATTAACTAATGTTTTACTGTTCAAAATTATACACTTTACGTCTGATTGTAAAACTAACTTTTATAAAACAGAGTTAGTAGAAACGGTTTTGTGATCTCTCAAATGTGATTCTCATACTGAACACAAGAAAATCACCAGCGAAAACTTTTATTAATAAACCATAAACATTCATAGTACTATCCCGAGCAGTGAAATATGCTAGTATATAGATTACAGAGAGAGCTAGTATACAGCTCAGGCGGATGGGATTAGGCGTGAAGCACATCAATAAATCAATCCACTTTTCTAACTGTCTCATCTTACCGCCGCCACATTAAACCTTATGGCTAAGCGTGAAGTGTTTACGTACCAACAAACGAAAATGAAATTTATATACATTAAAATACAAAAAATTCGGTGCTCAAACTGCGGTCATGGTGTCTACGTGGCACACAGACTAATATTTATAGCAAATATTAATTATTTATAACGAACACCAAACCATTGCAAAAGCTTTGGGCAAGCTAACTTCACACAACTCGTAGAGACAGCCATATGTTCAAGCATATTAAATTACCAAAAGCCCTCTTCTTAGGTAAAATGCACGAAACAAAATTATAATCAACAGGCGCCTCCTATTTAACTTTTAGGCGCTTTTAATCGCTCATTCAAAAAGTTTTAAACTTATGGTTATATTAATGAAATTAACAATAAATATAAGGATATTACCTCAAAAATTTAAAAATTACATTGTTTTTCTTAAAAAGTGATTATTTTTTAAATGAGCAATTTTTTTTAATTTAAAAAGTAAATATTTTATTTTTTTTCCTTTAGTAATAACCTTTTTTTTTAAATAAACTTGGGTTGCTTCTTTAGGGAAAAAATAAATTTTTTCTAATAAAATAAATTTTATAATGATAAAAACAAATATAGCGCTTAAAATAGAATTTATTCATTTTTTTGTTTCCGGATAAGTTAACTAATTTTTTACCTATATATAGGTATAATAAATTTTTTGTATCTATATACACTAAATAAAAATTGTTTATGTTATTATGTTAAGTCATGAGTAAGTTACATGCACTTATAGTCTTGTTTTTTTTTATTAGTATTAGTTATGGACATAGTTATAAAGTCAACCAGAAGTTACCTAACTATCAAGGTATTGTGATTTAATTGTTAATTTTAAGGGTAATCACCTTCAATTTCTGTTCTTCATGTGATTGTGCGTAATATAACATAAGTCCATGTTCTTCTCATTTTCTGGAGGCTTAAGTGAAAGCAATATTTTGTAGTCCCCAGCTCAATATTTTGTAAAAGTATTTTACCCTTCTGTAGGGATACTATATGTCATTAGAAAAGTTTTTAGAATATGAGTGAAAATATAATGATAACTATGTGGTGAGTTTACGTGCATGATTTTTCTTTCTTATATTAATTAGGGCTACCCCATGCTCCACGTAGTTTCACAATTAATTCGTTTATAAATAAGAGGAGTGAAGAATCCTGCGGTGACTGCATTGGTATAATATAAAAACCTTATGCTTTGAAAGCAATAACGCTTAATAAATTAAAGGGTGCCTATGGATCCAACCAATGGCATGCTATACCGATTGGAGTGAAGAGGTATGTAAGATTTATGAGAGTGAAGGCTACAAATATTGTAAGTAATATATTAAAAATATCTGCTTCTCATTGATTTTTTATATTAAAAAAAAATAATTTAATATAAAAATTGTATAAGGCTCAGCAGGTGAGACAACTGCCAGCACCACTACGCCACCTGTAGAAACGGACACTACTACCTCAACTACAACGCCACCAAGTGAAACAGGGACTCCTCCATCGAATCCACCCACGCCCTGTGAAGGCTGTAATGGAGGTATGACTTTAATAGAATGTTCATAGCCTCTACTATTATCCGGTCTCATTTATGTTGAGGTTGCTTTAATTTGCACAACGGCGACTGTCTTATTATAGACCAAGCATATTGCGAAGATTTTAATAAAGAGGACTATACATGGTGTGGCGCTAACTCATGTCCTTCGGCATCGGCTACTACGGTCACTGTAACTTCAACCACCACCATCAGCTTTCCAGCAGGCCCGTGTACAACTGACTCTTCTCCGTCTACAACTTACACAACTTCTTCCACTTCAACACCTCCTAATACTCCTCTTCCTGAAAACGATATTTCAAGGAAATTACTTCAAGCACTAGATAACATCGAGGGCAAAGACTTTTTTGAGTTAGATTGATTTTATGTATGAGTTAACGAAGTGCGTTCAAGTGTACTATGGGTTTTAACATTTCATAGGTATCAAAAACCAGATCTGACATGGGAGCCTTCACAATATTACCGGTGGGATGACATGAAAGGTGCAGTTAAAACCATGTTAACAATCGGAGTTGGAGACTTGCAGTTATGGAATGGTGAAGTTTGTAAAATATATACTAGTTGAACCCTTTAACCATATTTGATTAGGTGACACGAATCATATTTACGGGCTAGTAAGTCTTGCAGCGTTCTTGGCCCAAGCGATGCATGAAACTATTCGAGTAAACGCTTGTGATGAAAACAATTGGAGTGATAAGTCCACAGTGGAGTCCTCTGGTAACCAACTTCCTAAAATTATACCTTTACCTCTTAACTTGGTTTGCTTGGCTGTTCATGATGTCAAGGAGGAACATTATATTCCGCAGCAGCAGCATGTGGACAGATGCAGCAATCTTACCAAGATTACAAGTGCACAGATGCTGAAAACCAATTAGCAATGAGCACTGGTGGGGCGACCTGCTGGTTTCTTTCTCTATTAAACAGAGAGTCTTTCAACTTTTTATTCAGGCCAAAAACCAATGGAATGCAAAGTTAACCCAAACATGGTATTAAGGGCTTCAACGCAGGCTGAATGGTATGGAGCCCCCCCTGGTTTATTTTGCGCGCCAAAGTCACTACTGCCTAAAGTGCCGAGATGGGACAACAATGGCCCATGGTGTGCTCCTGCGGGTACTGATTACTGCTCTACTTGAAAAAGAGATATATTAAAAAATTTTACGTGATCCAACCCCCTAAAAGATAACTCTGCTCACGTGGTGCCGTTTGACAACTCAGATAGCAGTGCAGCCTACTTTGAGTACGTAAAAAACGGTGGATCCTGCAGAGATTACCAAGGAATTCAGGCAGGAGGCTGGTTATATGAAGGAGATGGTGACGTCTTCCTCCTTTAGTATGTTAAAGCAGAGAGTTAAAGTTTAATGCTCGGCAGGTTGCTCGAACGGCGTGTGCCCGGGAACTGCCGCGCCTTTATATAATAAAGGTCCGCGCGAGGACGTGGAGGGTTGCTGCTGGTGGGGACGCGGTACCCAAATTTCTTATTGTTAGTTCTTAATAGAGCTTGATCATATTATCAAAAGGCGTAATTCAAACTACTGGTGTCTGCAACTTCGGAAAATTAAATTATTACATAGGAAAAAGGGCTAAGGATGAAGGGCGTACCTCTCTGGTTTTGATTAATGAATAATAATACTTTGAAAGTTTATTGAGTAAGCATTGCATTAGTATCCTGATTACGACTTTTGCGAGAACCCCGGTGTTATTTGTGATCCAACCTCGGACCCAGAACTGAAGTGGATCGCAGGCTTATTTTATTACATTACTTCAGTGGAAAACTACGAAAAAAGTTTTCTCTATTTTCTTTTTAAATAAATAAACTTCAAATGCTGGATTTCTCTCAACCAGATGGATGGAATTACAAAAATGAAGTCAAGAAATGGGTAGACAATGGGATGAATATTTATGATCGAAGGTTCATAGACGGCGTTTCAGGAATTGTTAACAGAGGTACTTACAGGACTTTCAGCAACTTACGGGAAATATTAATAAGCATTATTTATATTGCAGGATGCCACGATGCTCAGTGCGGTACGGGTGCGGTCCTTAGTCCAAATGAGCGGGCCGACAATTTTAAAAAAGTTCTTACTGCTTTGAACTTACCTTAACAATAAAGCGCGTAGTGACTCAGAACTTTAAGCATATTCTAAAATGTTAAATATAATATACTAGGACTAATAGTAAACAAAGTTATTTCAAACGCAAGTCCTTAGGTCCATTGAGATATTCTTAAGCACTAAAGTACAAAAAGATTTAGCGCAAAAACAGTACCTTAAGCAAGATCCGAAAAGATTTACTTTAAGTAAAACTCAAAAATAAGAATCCATAATTTCATTAAAAAATTAAGAAAAAAGTTTACTTACAGCTTATAAGGCGAGTCTCTCGTGACTATGACTTTCGCCGAACTGGTATTATCAGTAGCTTACCTTTCCTCACTCAAGCATGTGTTTATGCTATGGCCTTGCCACCCCTGGAGGTATTTCTGTTAGAGGCAGGGTCTAATCCTTACTGTGCATTTTAGTAACCCTCTAAGATTGAAAGCGGCTAAACTGGTTTTGTTCCTTCTAGCTATTGAGCTGTGCGCTAATCTCTTACACTAGGAACCGCCTTTGCTAGTCAACTTCGTATGGTGTTGATTCAGTATTACTCGATTTTGTCCTCATGATCGCTCTGCTTTCACCGTAACCATATAAAATTGGAGAAATTGATTTTCTTGGTCATTAAAAGATTTTTGAAAAGAAGTTAAAACATACGTGATAAAAGACTAAAGCCCTACTTATGTTTATTAAGATTTGATAAAATTAGTCAATGACTTTAGTTTTTCTTATAAGAAGTTGGGCTCTAGTAATGAAAAGCTAAACTTACAGAACATCAAAACGAGTTAACACCTCAAAAGTGTTGGTCATATACACATAGTACCTAATTATCGGTGAATAGTTTAGAAATCTTTGAAAGTCAACTATTTTAGCTTAGTTTGAGTTGTGCATTGGTTTAATCCTTCACATTCTCCAGCGAGGAACAAGATAATGAAAAAAGATTTCTCTTTTCTTATAAGTTAGGAGTTAACCCATGTTCTTTGCCATTACAACCACTATTCACCACCCTCATTAACCTCTTCTTGTGCCAAAAAAAATCACGGGGGGAAGCGCGGATTCTAGGCTATTTACGAATATTTGCGAGCCCTCTTACCATCATACTCGTAGTCTTCGGCAGTTTTCTCTATTTTTCTTTGAGGAAAAATTGATCGAACTAGTGGTAAAGAGGTATCTTGTTCAGTACTATTAAGGACTTCTGTGTTAAGGACGTCACTAATGTTATATTTTAAGGCGCTGTGACCCTAAATTACCACTTTTCCTCGAAGTTGAGCATCTTACCGAAGCTCTTGAGGTCCACCTATAGTCGGTTGTTCGTAGGAGCATTGACTTTCATGCGAGACAACCGTTATCTCGCAGCGTATTTAAACCAAACTGACGGTACACACAGATTACACTATAATTGTTAGAGGAAACCCAAGGTGTCACGTGCAGAAGAACAAAGGACGAAGTGTGCACTACTACCCGGAAATGTAAAAAGAGATATATAAATCGCAGGGTTAGCATTAACTCAGCTCGATATATCGGGGCGTAGGCGTAGACAAAGAATTATTTGCCGATAAAGTCGCTTTGTGTGTCACTTGCCCTTTAATTACTATCTAGCTCTCCTCGAGCCAGACTATTTTCTAACTATGCCCCCATAATAATCGAGCTAACCTCGGCTGTATTAGGATTAAATTAGTAGAGTTATGATAGTACTACCCAGCTTATCATACATGTGTCAATTCGTTTAATCACGCTGTTTAATTGGTTAACATCGCCATCATCTTAGTTTTTACTTAAATTTAATACTGGATATTTGTTTGAATACTCACTGTTAGGGTATTTAAACCTTTACTGACCTGTATCTAAATCTTTAAGTCCTTTAAAATTAATTGTAAACAAATGTATATATATATATATAGAGATGTGCAGATGTGACTAAAACAAAAAAAACATTAAAATAACACGACTGCCAGTTTATGTTTCGTGAACCTTCATTATATACTAACCATTAAGCAGTGAAATAATTAATAATAATCATAAAATTGCTTAAAATGGTAATTTGCGTTAAAACGTGTGAACTGGGATCCCTCAGCACTCACCACGCCAAAAAAGCGTGGACGCGCCTTAAAGGGTAACAAATCATAAATTAAGGTAACAAGTTTTACAGGCCAATATAGAAATTTGTTTGTTATAAGATCTGACAAGAAAGCTTTATTTTACTGTTAAATAAATTTTGGTATATTTTCTTAGTCTATTTACTACTACTAACCTCTAGAACGAAGTTCTCTAGTATCCTTTGAAAAATTCTGTACTACTTTTAGGTTTTTCAGTTGCATACTTTAAATACAAAGAATTATTTTTTCACTTCGAATTCTTCATTACTTTCGTTACTTTCTTTTACTAATGTGACCTTACTGAAAGGCAGAATATAAACTTAATAATCTAAAATAGTTATGTTTGTTCTCTTCATTAAGGCCCTTATAACGGCTTTAAAAGTTTCTTCTTGAATAACTGAAAGGGTTTTTTTTAATTTAAACCCGTTAGCGACCTTATTAGAGAAACAATGTTAAATAAATGCTACAAATCTTGACAACTTGTTTTAAGAGACCTTAAGTCCATTAAGTAGATCTTAAGATAAAAGCGCATAGTACTTAAGCGGAGCTTGTATGCACTGTGTTTCGGGCCATTATGATATGCACCTTTGCTGCTTGAGTCTACAACTCGCTGGCATGCGCGTGTTATTTTAATGAAACAAAATATTATATACGGGCGCGCCTTGTGGTGTGCAAAAGAGTTTTACAACGCTTTGACTTCTTGATCCTATGAACTGCAAGCAAAGCACTAACGGACCGCCGGTAGAAATGATCGTCACTTATAAATCATGGGACGGTGCACGCTACCGCCACCCCCGTAACGCATTTTGAGTGTTTGTTATAGCCAAAAGAAGAAATACGATCAAGGGAAAAAGAAAAAAATTGATAAAACGTTAACTTTAATTTTAACCTAATTGAAGAATCTATGTCTGTCGACACTATCAAACGCCATTAATTCAGAAAAATGCATGCACTATGAGCTCCAAAAACGCATTGCTCTTCGCAGGGAAAGTACACTGGGAAAGTACACTGGCATTAGCACTCTCTTTGCAAGTTTCTGCGGCTAATGACGAACTGACGACGATCTGAGTCTAAAATGATTTGAAGACATTTTTTAAATTATAAATCAGGACCGCCAATGGGCTTAAAACTTACGCATGAATTTAGTGCACGTTTGACCCGGCGACGTGCTTTAAGCATATTAAGAAGGATCGTGAAAACTATATACGATTTACACAAGAAAATTTGAGTTACTAGTAAAACCAAGCATTCCGCCCCCAATCTTTTTTACTGAGCATTTAAACAATTCTTTGATAAAAAGAAATAGTAGTCGTAACTTCTATTTTTAATAGCTGTAAGCGCGCCGTTGCTTATTTGTAATGTTGTGGCTGTGCGTCTGTGGTTTAGAAATCTGGCGTAATAATTAAATTTTTATTGGCAGAATTCCGTCGTATAAATGAAATTCGTAGTTTTATACGTTTATGTTGTACAGCAGCTGTTGTCTATTGTTTAGTCTCTTCTCGCTCTTGTAGTAAGCAAAAAAGTCTAAAAATTATGTGTAGTTAGTCGTGAGGGGGATTTCATGCAGCGGGAAGCGCAGTCGGCAGTTGCGAGGTTGCTTTCTGGCTAAAAATTTTAATGGATGCTTAGCCTCTGTTAGTTTATATCCAAAACTTCATTAGTAGAGTCAACTCTTAAAACTTATACGGTTTTTCCGCTTCTTTTTCTTAGGCGTTCGCTTTTTGGCGTAATGGAAAAAGATTAAGAGCCCAATACTCTATCAATTGCTCCGGTTGACTTTATTATTCGGTCTTTGATGGTTGCGTACTTAACCTCGCCCTCATAAATTCTAATAAAGTTTACTCAATGATTACAGTTTCATCGTTAAGAGATAAAACATCCGACCAAATTACTTTTTTAAACAAAGAACTGTAAAAAAAAATTATTGCTTAGAAGCTGTTATCAGATTTATTCTTTATATTAACTTGGAAAGATATCGGCAACATCAAAAGATGAATCCGAAACCTGTAGGTTTTGAGCGCTAATAAATAAATAAAAATTAACTACAAAACTAACTTTACGTTTATCAGAGATTTTTTAACCAGGTTGAAACTGGTCTTTTAATTAATTAATAGAGGAGAAAATTGTGCCCCCCCCCGGTTTACATATTGCCCCTTAATTCGAGTTATAGGAGAGTCTAAATTTACCGTTCTTATAAAAAATTATTGACACTTTTGCAGTGGGCAAGACCAGTACAGTGTTAACTAAGTTAATTTGACGGGCTTTTAAAATATTATTTTGTCTTTGAACACCACCAGTCTCGTAGAGTGGTATTAACTCCTTCTGTTCCTCATCTATTTTTCTATTGTCCAAATCTTCACCACTTGGCTGAGTGGCGGTCAGTATAAGAATAAACTCCTTTAATTCCGCTTTCTCCCTTTTCCGGCGTTTTTTGTTTTTAACGGTTATAATAAACGTTTTATGATCAACTAAATGAGTGCTCAAAACTTGTTTTCTGAAATATTTTTTTTCTTTTACAGAGATTCCAGCTCTTCATCACACGAAGAGTGGTCCGCATTATTATCATACTTATTATTATTAGAAGGGCTATTAGTGGTGCAATTTTCTAAATAATCGTACAAACTAGAGTTTTCTAGGCTTTTCATAACATGGCTATTTTCGAAGCTTGCGGTTACACTTCGCAAGTTCTGCTGGTGGACATACGAGGCTTTAACGGTTTCCCAAAAGGCATCGACCTCCGCATAGTTGGCCCGAGCCACGTGTTCGGCTGTTTTGAAGTGATGAAGGCTGTGAAAGGTCACGTGGCAGTGCTCACAGAAAAGTCTTTTCTGGCCGCTGGAATTTTTGTTTTTCAAGGCCGTTGCCTTTCGCTCCTGCCGGAGAACAACGCATCCTTCTGGCCGAAGTCCCTTACGATAAGCAAGTTACAAAGCATAATAATAAATAAGAGTTACAGCAGAAAACCTTATAGTGTCTATAGAGACCGCGTGTCAAGAAGGAGTTTAGTGAGAGTTCTCGATAGTTAGGTCTAATAAAATTTAAATTTGTACTTACTGTTTACCTTATGAATGTTTTTAGATAGCACTAAGTAGAACTTTTAGCTGCTGGCCAGTTTATAAATATAATTACCACCAAATTTATTATTTGATACTCTTTTTATCAAAAAACTAGACCAGGTAAGGTGAGTTAGCTCAGCGGTCTCATTTTATTAAAACATAAGATTTTTGTCTAAGCACAAAACCTAAAACACATTTCATAACACAAAAGTAAGTGAAATAAAAACTAAAGTAAAGACTTTACAGAAAACATTAATGCAACAAGTTCAGTAAAAACGTACCACTAACAAAAACTATTTTAAAAAAACCACCGAGAAACTCATATGTAATAGAACCGGAAGTGTCCAGTCAGCGATTCAAATTTCCAAGCACAACCCCGAAAAGCAACAAAATTCGGGTGTGAAGGGTCAATAACTTTATATAGCCCCTAAAATAATATAACTTTTTGAAATTGCGAGGTTATAGTCGTCATAATAATAATATAGTAAATTATAAAGTAATTGTGATAAATATTTAAGCAAAAAGCAGTATTAAAGGGTCAAGGACTGTGCACGTCGTATTTTATATCGTTAGCTTACGGTAAATTATAAATGAGTTTACATTACATAAGAAGTAGTAGTAATTATAATCTAGTAAGCCCAGCAAAGTAGTGAATAGTATTCATTTTTTTATTACTTGCCATTCACTTTCCCGTTTGAGAGCGTCAAGAAGCTTTTCATTTTTCTTTAGATGAAGTTTTAAAGCTTTTGAAAATAATAAATAATTATTTGGAGGACATATTTAAAAAAATACAATAATTTATTAAACTGAACTTTTGTTACTATTCGCTTAGTTTAGTGTATTATTATTAAAATTAAAAGGGAATTTTTTAAGGAATCAAGCCAGGACTACTCACAAGGAATATTCTTAAAAGTCGATAAGGAAAGCGATAAAAGTTGGTTTAAGATCTTGCTAAACAGCGAGTCTTCTCTACATTTATAAAAGTGGGACTTTGTGTATCGGTGGCGACAGTAGAAGCTCAACGCTAACTATAACCTTTTTTACGGTCATAGTAGTGGTCTTCAGATTAAAGCTTATAGAAAACTAATACCGTTATAAGTCATAATATGGCAACCCAGCTTGGCTGCCCGTTCCACGAGTGGTGTAGAATATACTTTACCAGCTTCGGCAGTTTTCTTCGCTCTCCGGCTCTTTAGTAATAAAAATCATATAAGAAACTATTAAAATAGAAAAATGATGATTAAGTATAAAAATTCTAAAATTTTTTATAAAAAATACTTTTAAACTTGAAAGATTTATTAACTTGTCTAATAAAGTTTTTTTTTAAAACTTTTGGTAATTCCCCTACACTTTAAAGATCTAAACAAAAGCTAAATTTTAATGGAGCAGAAGTTTTAAATTGGAAAGGAAAGCATTAAAATGCCCACAGATTAAGATTTAGTTAAGTATTATAAAGGACATAAATCCAAGCCTACGCAGTTTGCAAAGTACCCTAGAAATTATAAAAAAAGAGAAAAATTTAAATTTCCATTTAATGAATGCAGCGTGTATCTTAACTGGGAGTACACCTTCTACGTATATCACCGCATACTTTGAAAGCCTTACTAAGCTAGCTTTTGGAAATACAATTTATATATGTTCGGAAGATCGAATATTAAAAGAAAAACAATTTAGAAAATTTCTTGCTTCCTTTAAAATTGTAAATAATAATGTATGGATTATTATAACCAAGCAGAGTCACTCTTTTCCCCTTAAAATATAGTTGTAGCTATTGACTGTGAAAACTTATATAAAATGCTTAAGAAAGTACAAGAAGTTTAAGATTTACTTAATGATAAAGTTTTATAAAGCTAGTCATCGCAGAATTTGATTTTCAATTATGAAAGCGGTCGTATTCATAAATTAAAATGTATTTTATAAACTTTATAAAGTAAAAAGTACTAAAAGTGATAACTTTTTACAAGTGAATAACGCCTACTCACATAACAAAATAGAAAGATTAAAACAAGGAAAAAGTAATTATAAATATACCAAATATGTATTTCGAAAAGCAATGGCATTTTCTTTTCTAAAATAAGTAAAGAAATTAATAACTTTATACAAACTTTAATAAAATTTAAAAACTAGTTTTTTGTTACCTACAAAGAGATCTTTAAAAATCAATAAAATTAAAAAAAAGTTGGAAAGAAAAAAAATTGTACAGATCCATAATAACAGTATAAACAAGAAACTTTTATATAATTTGTAAAGAAATCTATACAAGAATAAATCAACTAAATAATTTGATATATATATAATTAGATTAATATTTATTTAGTGACTTTATATTTTAATAATAGCTACACTAAATAGGTAGAAAAAAGTAGACCTTACTTCGTTTTGAATGAAAGCAGGATCGTAAATAAAAGTAACCGTTTTTGAAAAGTTGGAAGTTATTTTCTATAAAAAATAGAAAAGAAAAATAGTAGACCAAGAAAGTGATATCACTTTTATAAGCTTTAGTACAAGAAAAGACAATTTTAATTTCAGTTTATTAATGTTAGTAGCGTCATGTGTACTACCTCGATACATAAAATACTATTAACTTTGTAACAAGAGCTATTAAAAAAAAATTTAAATTTTTAGTAAATGAGAATAAGAATAACATTAAAAAACATACAGCCCCTAAAAGTTTGCAATCACTCTTTACGCGATCCAAGGTAACTACATCTTTTACGGAGAAATAAAGAACTTTTCCTTTTAAACTTTTAGTCTGTGGTTTGTGAGTGTCTTTTGAGTTATGTAAGGTCCCTTCAGAAATCACTTGTTGCTCGTCATCGTTACGATGTGCAGCTTCAGTAGATGACAGTTGAAAAAAAACTTTTGAGAACATTTACTTAATTTAAGAAATTTATTTGCCCCTCTGTTACACCTTATTTAAAATGTTTGTCACCAAACATCACATAAAGCGGTTTATAGTTTAAAAAATTTCTTTTTTTTCTGATATTGTCTCCTTATGTCATGAACTTTTGTAAAGCTAGTACTTACTGTTTAATATAATATATGCCTTACAGACGCTCAAAGTTTTAATGTAGACAGTGAAACGGTTATTATTGCGCCACTCAAGTCATTGGCAAGTTGTATATTAAATCCACATGCTTTGACCCGATTTATGCAATTTTGCCAGTTACTGTTATTGTCTCTTTCATTTATTGAAATATGATATAACCACACCTTATGAATTATACTATGAACAGTAAAGAAGCTTAAATTTAGAAGTTTTCAGCTAGGTGCTATACACTTATATAATCAAAATAGGTGGTCCCGTCTTATCATTATAGGTTACTTCGGACTTCATATATTTATAAAACGAGAATAATTACGGAGTAGACGTTATATAACGCTAAAAAAATAATTAGTCGACGTGACTATTAAAATAACAACATTAAAAATTTTACACTATTAACAAAAATAGGCGTTATTTGAAAAGGCATAGCGAAAAGAAGGGTGTAAATTTTGTAGGAGCCGGAATGAAAAATACTAAATAAGTAGATAGTGTTTTTTATAAAAGAAAAGGCAAGCGCCATAGTAAAGAAAAGAATAAAAATTGTGTTCGTAGTTATAAAGTAACTGTACCAGTAAATTAAACAAACAATATACGGTATTATAAATTATACAGTAACGAAAGTATCTAACTTAAATGCCATTTATGACTATTATGGTGAATTTAATAATTAAAAAGAACTTACATATATTTTTTAAAGTATTCGATAGTTCCGTTATATAGCCTGAGGCCTTCGGTGCGAAATTATATTTTGCAAAGACCACCACGTTAAAGCTTTGTTTATAAATTAGCTTTTTTTTGTATACAAAATACAAGTAAGGAGTTTTTTTAGAAGCAGCTTATTGCCTTAGTTATAATGCGAAGTATTAACCAACAACGCCTACCAAAGAAAAGTTACAAAAACTCTTTACAAAAATAAAAAACTTCTGATTTTCTATCTGTCGGTTTACGGAGAATAGCATTTCCAATTTCTCCTAAAAGCGATTCTCTAATTATTTTAGTTAAGACGAAAGTTAGTAAAATGCTCTGAATCACATGCATATATGATTTTCCTTAGAATATATGTAGCCCAAATATATTTTTTCCCTTTGGGTCTAACTCATACTCAAAGATATTTTTTAAATCTTTCTTTAGGCTTTTTGGCCTGCATAATCACTGTAGAACACTACTTATGTTTAAGGATTTCATAAATTACCCCCTGTTTATAAAATAACTGCTAATTTTTATTTCAGGTATGTTTTGACTTTTAGAATTAGGTTTTTGCGCAAGCCTGAATGAAACAATTTACTATTTTACTTAATATTTTAAGTATTCTATTTATTTCCTGAAGGAGCCTTACGAAAAACATTTTATGTATTGAATAGTCTGCTCCGTTTGACACTACATTTATGATAAGATTTATATAAGCACTTAAAATTTTCATATTTTAGAGTCTATAGATTAAATTTATATAATTAAATAGTTGTAGTAGGCTACAATACTCAAATAACTAAAAGATACGTTTATATAAATAACTTCTCAATATTAATTTGAACCACAGCTTTTGTGCACCCAAAGTTGTTACTTCCAAAGGCGGAATTCCGCAATTCCGTAAAGCGCTAAGAGAATCGTTAACAGCCTATCGCTTATTCACTGGCGAGGTTACACAAGTTACGCTTCTACTCTCGCTGGAGTATATCAGCATTCTTTAACTTACGTACAGTAAAAAGTTTAATTATATATTGAAGAAGTAACTCGTTCATACTTAAATTATTAATCTCTTGTATCGAAGAGCATAATTTAGTGAAAATCTATTTAATACCTAGAAGTTGTGCAATCGTTTTTAACCTCAGGCCCTAACCTAACTTTTTGCGGTGCATACAAAACATTGTAAACTGGGAACCGATTATGGTTTAAGCAACTAAAAGTACTTAGTTCTTCCTCCTTTTTCTTTGTCTTGAACAAAAACTAATCACCGCTGAGCTAAAAACCGGGTCAAGTTAGCGTGCTACAAGTTTTCAAAAGCTAGTTTAAAAAAAAAATTTAAAACTCGGAGCATTTTGCTCATAGTTAGATAACTAATGCACTGAAAAATCGTTTGGGAGGTGTTTAAGTAGCCTTAATTTAATTTTTCCGGCTATGCATACTTTGATTACAATGGTTTGTGGCTATTCACAACCCTCTAGACTATATAAGTCAGTAGATATCACGGTCTCGCTGTTTATTATGTATATATAACACAATAAATCTTTTTACACATCATGAACGGCAACTCCTAGTTCTTCTTTATTAATGATAGTATGGGAGCAAAAACAAGTACTTTTTGCGTATCTGAGGAATGGTGCTATGCTGGTCTATAAGAACCTGCAAATGGATGAGTTAAGTCTATAAATACGAGAGATGATGCTTAGAATATAGACATATAATAATAGAATGAATTCAATTTTGTTTAAGAAATAACTGGACTCCCTGAAAATAGTCTATAAAATAATAATAATTTTAATGGTATTGAAACTAAGAAAATGGGCTAATAAACCATTAGAACAGGCCATAAACCCAAGCTAGAACCGCCGTCTTAAAGTTTAAAAAAATTACATGACAAACAGCTATAAAAAAGCTCCTTATACTTAGTTTCAAAACTTAGTGTTTTATTAAAGCCTTTGTATTATATTGCGTTCTAAGTTGTAAAATTTAGCTTAAAAGTGCGATTGCTTCTGCTAACTTTACTAGAATAAAGAAGAAATTTATATATAAACTTATAGAGGCATTAGTTGATTATGAAACCTGCCAAGAAACATAATTAACCAAAACTTAGAGTACTGCCCAATTAAACATATTTTCATTGTGAGGTTTACATGTCAGCGTGTGAGAAGAAAGGAAAAATCATTGCTATTTTACGAGTACTTAATACATGATTTCCATATATCATCGATATACGCCATTTTAAGAAATGACAAATACATATAAACGCAAGTCTACGGTCTGAAAGATGCTCATATGAAAACATTCCGACCGTTCTTGTGTTTTCGAAATTATGTAGATACCAAATGTGTGCGTAACAGAAGCTCCTCTGGGCGTTCCCCTAAAAAGAAAGTAAGTGAAATATAAAAGCATCGTAAAAGGACGAGAATAACCCAACAACAACTAGGTGTGTCAAAGAAGGATGGTTTAAATTACTTCTAGATATTATACTCAATTATTTAATTTTACTTTTAAAGGTATCCTTTCCGGCTCCCTTCAACTCAACAGGTTGCCTACAGAAAATGGCAAGAAGGAGCTGGTTATAAAGGTGGGCCTACCTTTTAGGGTGGTGGAAGCCTGGTTTCAAAATCAGAGAGTTACCATCTCGAAGAAAACAAAAAATACCAATTTTTTAAAATTTTTGACCTCTTAAGTTACAAGTTTAAAGCGGCCCAAAATTAGGGTGCAACGTTTCCCTTCAGCATCCGGAGAGCTAGTCACTCTTCCTAGCTTCATAGGTGGGACACAACTTAGGTATGCTACTTTTAATAAAGTTTAGGTTAGACAATTATTTTTAAATATAAGTTATTGGGCCGACCACATTAACTATGGCTTACGGTAACAGTATTTCAATGTATAAGTATATTTTATTTTATTTTTCTGACTAAATTTATTGTTACATTGTTAATACTAAGAACTTAGGGGTAACGTCTACAAAAATGTTGTGAATATTACAAACATTCATGCCTTACAACGAATGCCAGTGGTGGGATTTTATCAACGTATTTCATAGTTGTACAAATGTATTATAAAATTATATATCATGTAACTCTAAGAATAATAGTACAACCAAAGTTTGAAGACTTACCCATTTATACGTTAGCACTGGCACAGCTTTTAGCCCACAAAGCAGTTCAAGATATAGACCAAGGCATGGCAGTCAGGGTACCGTTATTTTAACTATACACATAATATTGGTTAGCTAAAACCCTTCAATTAATTTACAAACGGCTTCCATCTTAATGAATCTATTATGTTAGTGCGTGAACTTTTTAAAGATTAAATTATTGCCTTTTTCAATAGTCAAACCAGATGTCGAAGTTTTTAGCATTTATACAAAATAAGCATTCTATATCCCGAGTTCCTAATCTTAATGTTTATTGTGGTGTTAATATTTTCTAAATATTTAAGTATAATGTAAGCCACCATAACATACTTAAAACCATGATTTGTGGCTAATAATTGCGCTTATTATTCTAATTATTTGCATGCTATAAATTAGTTTATATAAGAATCTATAAGCGATATTCAATAGCTGTCTCATAAAAGCTTTTAAAATTACTATTTATCTCCTAAATATACTACAAAATAAATTTTAATGTTACATAAACGACAAATAACCACAGAAAATAGTATTGAGGCCATTTTAAGCTACACAAAAATAAAGTGTTAAAACCTACAGTTTTACAACGCCCTCCGTTCATAGTTAAGTACTTTATTTGTAAGGTACCATAAAATTTTTTTTTATGGCTACTAAAAAGAAAATATAGGGAGTGCAATATCCCAATTAATTAATAAATTCCGCGAATGGCAACGCTAAAAATAAATTTGGAGTTTAATACTCACCAAAATTAACGAGATTAGCAGAAGTAGATGAACCCGACTAGTAAATATAGTTAACTTTAATTGATATAGAGGACAGGGGTTTGGAACCATAGCCGGTATCTATCTTATGATGCTTGGGTCGGATTTAAACTGAAGGAAGCAAGAAACTTATTAACATTTCTTTCCTACTGTGTTAACGTTGTGTATGACCAAGTGCTATTTGCGGTGTTGCAGTAAAGCAAGCTGCCGTACGTTATTGCTAAATTTTGCCCACAAGAAGAACCGTTTAAGAAAATATAAATTGATTATTCTAAATATTGTAACAAGGGAAAGTTAACATACTCATGAGGGTCAAACTAAGCTGCAGGATACAGTATTTCTACCTTGCGTTAACCTGTATTCCTTTTGGAAAGTGAAAAGTGTCAGCATTTTTTTTTAATGACCCTTTTTCAGCTTTAGACGCCTACAACTCCGTTTCGGTAATTTGTATTGGGCATGGTCTTCCACAGAAGCCCCGATTTTTGCTGTAAAAATAAACTTAATTTCGCTTTGCTTTAAAGTTAATTTTATTTTCTTACCTTTCTTAAATATCTTAATAATATAGTCCAACGTCTATATTTCAAATCTAGGTATACAAATGTTACTTTAACAGGGTTAAATGCGTTAATCATGTCTTTGTTGAGAGTATATAATTATACAATTATTATAGTTTATAAAATTCATTTACTAAACTTATATAGCTACTATGTCGTTGCACATAAACTTTTCGTTAATTTTATCGCTCCAAGCACACTCAAGAGATAAAGCTGTCGGGTGGGTTACAGGGGTTCTATGGGCACAGTTATCTGCACGCAAACATTTAAACTTGTTTTTGCTACTAATATTTTAAGGGTCTAAATAGATACGGGACTACTAAATTTTTTAATCCTTTTTTTTTTATCAGTAATTTTTTTTTGAACTAGGACACGCTTGGTTAACGAATATAAAGTATACATCATTAACTTTCATGTTAAGGTTAGATACGCGCGGCTGCTTAATGCACAATAAATTAAGTTAGATTTTTCATTAACTTTTTCTCTATAAAAAATTTTTTATTAAATATATTTTTTGCATTTCTTTCCTTCTAAATACGGTGTTATCCTTTGGGTGTAAATTTACATTTTTTGAAAAAATAGTAAGGATAGTTATGACATGAGTGTGCGTACTGTCTATGAAGCTCCTTTTTATTTATAAATATACTGACAGTAAAGAGCTTAATACAAAATTTGACATAATAAGAGATTTGGTTGTCTAAATTGTGATCTCAAATTTGGAAATAATTTCGAATATAATTAGTTTTTTCGTTACTGGGCGAAAGTGCGCAAAGAACCAAAGATATTATAGCCAATAACGTTACATAATAAAGTTAAATAGGTATGGAATAGCATAGGATAAGAAAGCCAAATAATAGAGTTAATGAAAACTAGATAACACTAGTAATCTATTTGATATCAAATGTAACAGACTAATAAGGTATATAAATTACTTTGTACAGACCACCTTATAATACATTGCAAGGCGACTCGGAAAAGTAACACAGATTAGAGATTTATTTTAAGCACTTTTACTAGTTTTTAGTGTGCACCTGGTCATCTATACTATGAAACACTTTTCCTTTAGCGCTCAAAAATTATTTATCCTCAAAATGTTTACTCTTGTGGTCAAAATTAGAGTCTAAAAAAAGCTAATTCTGATACGGAAATCTTTACTGAAACTTTCTTAATTGTAATAGGTTAGCAGTTGACTAGTAAAATCTCTAAGATTTTATTATTTTATTATTATAAATGATGACATTTACTTTAGTAACATTTAAAGAAATCAAGGCATTAAGAATATTAATAATCTTTATAAGGGTGTAGGTAGTATTATAAAAGTCAACTATTGTTTCACCTTAAATGTGCCAAATGATACATATATTCTACAAGCCTCTGAGATCCAAAATCATGACCAACTGCCTTAGATAACTCTTCAAGATATTTACTGAGTATTCTGGCTTTTTTATCTTTAAGAGTCTGAATTAATATGCGCAATAAGTATATTTATAAATATATAGCGTGTAACCTTTTTAACTATTTTTAAAAAGTCTTTTCAAAATTTATTGAGGTAAGAAAGGTGCAATACCTGAGGAAGCTTACTGAGTGGCGCCATTTTAAGCTAAATAACGGGCCATTTTACTAAATGTTGTGTCTTAGAAGGGTAACAGCGAGCTATACTATGGATACCTGCCGCATTGCAGTGAGTAAGGCTAAAGAATCTTAGCATACACGGGTTTGGGGGAGTATAAGCTAAAAGATAAAGACTGAAGCCTAAATGGCTAGCAAACTGATAGTTATTAATATAAGTTTGTTGCTCATAATTTTGCTCAAGTGACCACACCCAGGAGAAACAAGCAGTTTTCGTAATTTAAAACGCTTACAAAAAAAAATTACCCACAGTATATTCATAATCCCCTCGTACACTTGTGTAATTTATATTGGTCTAAAATTCGTGTTAAACAAAAAGGCTTAAAAAGAAGTTACCAATCCCAAAAAAGAAAAAAATAGCCGAGGAAAATCTTGCTGTAATCATACATGGAACTAAAGAATTTGTGAGTACGATCTCGCAAGGAAAATTATATAGTTTATGTTAAGTGTGTGCCAGTCTTAATTATAAATTCTATATTATTGAAAGCTAATATTATGCTTTCTAGGGTTACGATTATATTCAGTAGCTATAATTCTTTTTAAAAAGAAAGTGAACTCCTTTCAAAGATTATGAAGTATTAACTGCAAGGGTAAATATTTGATTAATAAAGAGGGGAGGATAAGTTAAAAATACTAACTATACGAAGTAGACGTACGCTACATAAAAGTTAATGTCACATAGTTACATTTATACCTCTTGAAAATAGGGGAGGTACATAAATTAAATAAGAGTGAGGGAAATTTGAAGTTTTTACAAAGTTTGGAATAAGCTTAAAATCTGACCTTTTATATCACCACATGCTCATCCGTCACTCATTACAAACAGAGAGCAGTGCTTAGAAAAAATTGACGCGTGGACATAATTTGGTAAGCCGATCACGATGTCTTAGTCACTCAAATGCTGCTTGGTTTCTACTCCGCTTTAAAGTAGGTATGCCTGTAGTATAAAGTACTCAAAGTATAGCTAAAAACGAAACCAGAAACTAGCGTGCCTAACTAATAGATATCCGTAGTGTTAAAGATAGCGCGCATGTCTTCACGGTCATATACTACGATCTACAGCTTTAACGAAAAATATAAACTTTTTGTCCTACCAAAATTTTGTTTAAAACAGTTAATTAATTCTTATTTATACCTTTAAGATTTTTCCTCTCCATTACTAAAACTTTAAAGTGGTTGCATAATTTTAAGAAAGCTATCTAGTTTTTACTGTATTAGTATTTTTAACTCGAGCTTTAGAATTTACTGGTAAACAGGTACTTCTAGTTTTGATAACCTAAACATTAACGTTCCTTTTATCACTTAAACTAATTACACCCTAAAATACTAATTATTCCGTCCTACTAAAGTAGAACTAAAAACACAATAAAAAGCTGGATTAAAGTAAAAAGGAATCAAACCTCTATCTCTGACTTAAGCTACAGCGTTTCGTATGCAGAGAGAACTGTCTACTGCGTAAAGTTCGTAATGCTTCGCCTTAAGAGAAAGTAAAATATTTATTTATTCCCCTCCTCACTCTAATGTTTCAAGCAGCATTTTATACAAGTCGACTTACAGTTTAGGTTTAATAAACGTTACTTTCGTAATTACTCTAATAATTGTCTACAAAATATGAACCCTTAGTTAGTCCCATCAAAAAATTTATATAAGTCAGTCACGTGCTCTTTATTTGCATGGCAAATTAACTCTACTTTTTTAGAAACCGGAGCTCTCTTATTTTTTAACTATTCAAGGTAAATTACTAAGCTTACACCTTAAAATTTATAAAAATTTTATACTGGTAACACTTCACTTTTTCGTTGCTACCTTAAAATCTTAAAAGCTTTTTGTAAACTGTAAATAATTACTTGTATAAGTCAAAAGTTTTATAAATTAACTAAGCATTGTACTATGTTAACAAAATCATTTTTAAGTCAAAAGCAGTTATTTTATATATAACAATCTTTTTACAACGCTTTCGGAGATTAAAAGTAATGCTACAAATAAACGCCTTTCACATTATTGAACCAGAACGTAGACGTTGGCATATATAGTTCAGATCCGGTTAAAGGGAATAATGTTTATTTACTTAAACGTGCTTTCAGTTCGGAAAACTAAATCACTGGGTTATCCATTTAGTACGTCTGCTTCTTGTCTTTTATTCGATTGAAGTTTTGAATGATTTTTGCATGTTTGCTATATATATATATAGTATTACCTTTTTAACTATCTAAACTTTTTCTGTTTATTATAAGTTATGATAATCTAGCTCATAATTAAATTTTTTTTTTATCATTTCTTTTTTTTTTAGACCGAATTATTCTTCGTAATGAAAGTAAACGTAAAGCACTGTATTATAGAACTTTCTAATATGTAGTAACTAGGAGGTCATTGTATTTATTAGAGTACTCATGAACTAATAATTTGTAATTAAACAAATTTAGAAGAATTTTTTAGTCAAAATAGCTTTTAATAAAATTTTAAAACTTAAAGTAATTAAAATTTGCTAATATTTGTGATTTTTTTTGTGAAATTGCTTATTAGTGATTAAATAAATTATAAAGCTTTTAAGCGGATGGTAAAGTTAAAAATTGCCATTCTAAACAAGAAATGCCATAAAAGAATCACATTTTTAAGTTAAAATAGATAGTTTCACTCCAATAAAGTTCAAAGTAAACGTTTTTATAGTACGTTTGCACTTAAACGATAAAATTTGTTTTAATAAGGTGTCGAACCTGTGTACCTTTTAACGGATTAATCGCACTCAACTAGAGGTGTTCGCTTATAGGTATGTGGTTACTTTTGACTTAAAGTGAGCAAGGTAACGTATAACAAATTTAAACCGATATTAATGCTTCTAAAGCAAAATATTGTAAACTCAAGGCTTAGTATACTAAAATTCTTTTCTATGACACCTTTCCTTAAAAAACTTTTCTGTAATATAATCTTAATACTTCATTTTTTGGAATGGATTTTTCATGATTTCCTCCGCACTAGGAGTTGAGCTTTTACTTTACATTTGTTAAAGCGGTTAATTATTTTTCTCCTTTGCAAAGTTATATGGATGCACGCTTGTACCCGACGTAAGGATAAGCAATTTAACAGTTCATACACGTAAATTCATCATGCCGAAACTCATCGTAACACTGAGCACTGACGCGCGTAATCAAGGTCGTAGGCTTCCCCACCGTAAAATTTCCATAGCTTAACCCTTCGTTAGTGTGCCGGAAAATAGTAACACCGTTATTATTGTAAGGTGTGACATACCTATTAAAAAAATTCTGTAGTTTATTTGTTTAGCAAATAATTTTCTCAATCTTTGAAATAATTTTTTTACTTTAAAGCTAAAACACCTTTAAAAAAAATAATTTATACACAGATATTCTAGTTAATGACAAAATTTTTTAGTGAACGGAGGGACTAAGACTTGGTACCTCACAGATCACAACATTAACCAAAGGTTAAACAAATACCCCCTAAGCACTAGGCCAAAACATCGCCTTATTTGGATTAACAGTTGCTGTGCCCCTAATATAAGAGGGATTTACCTAAGAAACCAAAATAAAATGTCTACTTTTATATCTCGGACAAGCTGTAACAGCTTGGACTTCAAAGATTGCAGCGACCACTACGAACCCGGTCCAGCAGCTTTTAAGTGCAAGTTTATTGTAATATGGTTCGCTCCTTTATAAGCAAATTTATCGCACTTTTTCGTTATCGTTTTTTCAGCAACGTCTTCGAAAAAATAATGAAGGTTTCCGGTCATTCTGAAAAAAAGAAAATATTCAATGGATTCCTCGAAAAATGGAGGGATACTGGTTTCCTTCTGTATAACTTTTATTAAATAACTACTACATATTTTTACCATAATAAGTTTTAAAAGTACGTTATCAAATAAATAGGCGATGCCGACTTTTTTCCTGCGCTACGCTTATTTCTTCCTAAATTGGTTAAATTCTGAAAGTTTATTATAATTCTAATAACTTAAGTTTGCTTGTGTAGGATAAAAGACGAATCCCATATGGTATTAAAGAGGCAAAGCTAGCAAAATTATATATTGAAGCTCTTCAAATTCCACCCAATTCGAAGGTGTTAACAGACTCTTTAAAGTTATCCAATATACTATTAACAAGACCTAAGACTGGACTTGCTCTACTGAGTTGGAAAACCACACGAACAGCTTCTGATTCTTTAGGGGATTTTGCCGCAGTGGCAAGCGTCGTTTTGGTTCTAACTTATGGCATACGGTAGAACGACGCCCCTATGTTGAACTGATTCTACAATTCACTTTCTCAGAAAGACCGATGCTCTTCCACTCCCTCTTTAAGTATTGCCAACGTTAACAAGTACCTAGATATGGTAACAGTTGGTCAGGTTTCGTTGGGGGCTTCTAACTCGGTAGTATAGCTGGCAGAGGCTAACATGACTTCCAATGACTTATCTCACAAAGATGCTTTACTATTTTTTATTAAGTAACGTAATATACTATAGTTGCTTAACTTAAAGTAACGTTGGAGTTTCGTCCAGGCACCTCACTTTTTTCGAACAGAAATGGTTTATTCGCATTGTTATGAAGGACTTGAAAATCGGTAGATTTTATTTACAGTATTTAGCAAATAGGAGCATATATTGTTCTCAAGGTTTGTCTGAAGTTAGTGTGTTTGACTGTATACACCGCGATGCTCTCGAACTTTTTAATGTTTGCAATGATTTAAGGAAAGTGTGCCAAGTAGCGCCTTTATTATAAACTTGAAGCAGGCATAACCGCTAAAGCAATGTGTTTCAGGCCTTGCCAAAGCCTGACAGCTGTCTGCCTGACAGAGAAATTAGACTTTTTACTTCTTTTAAGCCGATGCTTGCCGATAGTAAGACGCTTAAGGAGGCATGTTAAGAGAGTGCAGCTTCTTGCGACGCGCTGTAAGGGTACTGTTACAGGTGGCAAAGTTTATTGAAAGTTTAGGGGAAGTGTTCGTGGAAACAAAGTTTGACGGCGATCGAGTGATTATTCACTTTCATAAGGGCCAACTGCAGGTCGACGGTTCAGTACCTGTCCTCTTCTCCACTTATTTCTCCTGCTTCTCTTCGATACTGTTAGTATTGGACCCGCAGTGGAAACAACTTGACGGACCTCTATAGCAAACTTCTGCCCAGTAAAATAACAGGCTGCTTCGCAGAGACTGTTCAAGATTATTTTTTTAGCAAGTCCCTTTTTATAACGGCGTGAGATAGGTTGAAAACTGCATCATCGACGGTGAGATGATGGGTTACGACACTGAACTTGACGTGTACATACCGAAGAACTGTAAATTATTTTCTTAGTTCAAAGTTTTTCGTGTGATATAATATTCCCATAATGACCAAAAAGCGGTGGACGTCACATCTTTCGGTGCACCATCTGCTCGCCGTGCGTCTTTCGTGGCATTCGATATAGTTCTGCTTAATAACAATAACATCGCGAGTAGACCTTTCAAGTAACTTAACAGTTTAGCAGCTCGATAGTGAAGTTTGTACATGATATTTAGAGTCAGGAAGGAAATCTTGCGCGGAGTCCTGAAGGAGCAAAAGGGTATACTACTGGTAGCAGAGACACGTATAGCTTCATCCAAGAACGATATCAGCGAACTGCTAAACGAAGCCATCGAGAACCGAGAAGAAGGCATCAAACATTAAAGAAAAAATGGTTTTAACTGGCAACAGTTCTGTATTATTAATGACAGGCGTGATGGTGAAGGATCCCAATTCAGAGTACGTCCCCAACCGTAGGAGGAACAGGTGCCATGTCCTTTATATTGTCGCTTTTGCAAGCTGACTCCATTCTCTTGCCTTTAGCGGGTGGATCAAAGTAAAACCGGAGTTTGTGAGCGAACTGAGCGACCTTCTAGACCTACTAATAATAGGAGGTTACTACGGATCAGGTGCCTTTTCCTCTGCGCAGCTTGCAAATTTCTACTTATTTATTTTGTGTGCAGGGAAAAGAAAGAACATAATATCACACTTTCTGCTTGGTGTTCTTCTGCAAACCGACGATCCCGGCCCGCAAGCAAACGCTCCCGTCTTCCTATCCTTTTGCAAGGTTTGCTTTCGCAACTGAATTTTTGCTTCAGTTGTTGCTACTCGAAGTCACAGGTGGGCTCCGGCTATACGTTGGAAGACCTCGAGAGCATGTCTCAAAAACTAGACCGTCATTGGATAAAATTCTCAATAGTTCGTCCACCGCATTTGTAGGATTTTTCAATTATATATTCAGTATAATCTTAACTTCTACTCAGTCTTGAACTTACAGAAGGATTTAAAGAAAAACCCGACGTGGTTATCCACCCCTCAAGATCTATGGTTAATTTTAATCAGTTCAAGATGAGTAAAGCCCACTTTGCTTATAACTCTTAGGTTGTCAGCGTGAAAGCTGCAGAAATAGTCCCCTCCACAAAGTTTAAGGTTCCTCCGAGAAAAAAATTAGTTAAAATAATATAAGCATACATTTTAAGTACAGACCGGCTGCACATTAAGATTTCCCCGGCTGGAATACTTTAGAGACGATAAGGAATGGAGAGTAAAGCTTTCAGGCGCCGACGCATTCACCAACACCCCACTCACTAATAAACACACCAGGAATGCCTCAACTCACAGATGCTTTACGAGTTATGGGGAAATGCCGGCGGGAGACTTCTATCAAAAAGAGTAGAGCAGGAACATTTTGAGCTGGCAAGTATCCCGCGTTCAAGGTGCCGTGTTATAGTAATGCTTCAACTGTTAGCCAGCAAAAAGATCCCGAAGACCCGTAGCTGGTTTGGCGCTCATGGACAAGTATAAAGGCCCTGACTTGTCCGCCATTGAAGAGGTTGTTTTACTTCTTTGCGGGGGTTGAGCTAACACTTCACACTACTGTCCAGGATGCCGACATTTTCAAAGGAAAAGAGTTCTTAGTAGCGTGTGAAGGGAAGGTGCTCCAACTTCTCCACTGCATAAACCAGGCTTTTAATACATGTAACTAGAAAGAAATAGAGATTTTAATAACAAAACTCGGCGGTTTATGCGTCCAGAATTTCAGAGTAGGGAAGACCACGTGTGTAATAGCCAACAAGGGTGACCTTTGCCGTTTTACTTTTCGAAGAGCTTGTATTGTAAATTAATTCTTTTAAGAGAACTTGAGGGTGCGAAGCATTGTCAAGTCGAAGGCGGCGGACGTGGTGTCACCGCAGTGGATACAGGAATGTTCAGCTGCAGAAAAAGTCGTTTATTTTTGAAATCTCTAGTTCCTTCTGCTCAAATGCTGTAGTTACTCCCCTTCAACCCCAAGCACCTTCTTTTTGCCACGGAGGCCACAGAGAAAGACGTGTACAGCTATTTCGACCGTCACGGTGCCTGGTGTTGCCCTATGCTAATCCTCTCCGTTACTGAACGGCTGTCCGGTAGGTGATAGCTACACAGAACCTATTAAGGACCAGGACGAGCTAAAGGGATTGTTTGACAAGATGCCTTGCGCGCTAACCAACCAATCACTGGACATAGCCGACCTGGAGCACAAGTACATGGACAAAGGTGTCACTTTCATGAACAGCAACGTGATCCTTTTCTAAGGAATAACGTAATAGACGGCGGTGAGTGCGTCATGAGCGTTTTCAGGATTTGCGTTTGCTACGTAGACTTCTATAAAGAAGTTGGAAATCCGCAACAAAGACTATGCAAGTCATATCTAGAAATAAGTGCTGCCCAAGTAAATATTAATTCCGGTTAGCCCTTTTGTATTCTCACAGCTTCGCGACAGATAGAAATGTTCGGAGGAAAAGTGGTGAAGAGCATCAATGGGGAGATAATTACCCACGTGGTATGTGACCGTGACGATTATAGTCGGTTGGAAGCAATTAACAGAATAAACAGAGGAAGAGTGAAAAAGTATCACGTGGTTGAAAAGTGCTGGGTAACGAGCTGGCAAAAGTCCTTAACGAGGCAAGTAGTAACCACTTCGCTTGCAGGTCTCCGAATCCATCAAGTACAGAAGAAAAGTCAAAGAAACTCTTTTTCCTTGCCGTTTATAAAAATAGGAAATTTAAGTGTAAGATGCCAGCAGATTCCGAACTTCTTTCTGGCCACATTCAAAACAAAATAAATCCACAGTCACGTCTACACTCTTCTTCTGGTGGCATTTATAAGTTGCAGGTAAATTGAATCTAGAGTGAGGAAAGAATGAAAAAAGAACGAAACACACAAAAAAAAAAATCCACTTCACGCAATCGGCAACAAGTTTAGGATGTAAGCCCCAACTTCTCTGCGCTGTGCGTGCTACGTATTGGCGAGTGGATGACTTGTGCATCGAGTAGACCTTTTTTCTGGTGTAGTCTGCTTAAAAGTCATACACTCTCTAACAAAATAAAACCTTGCCATAAACGCGGCCACCCGAAGAAATTTCATATCCAGCCCTTTATATGAAACTTAAGTAGTATAGTATTAATAGTTTTTCTCAGCAAAACCTCTATTATTCTTAGTTCCGAAGGGGGGGTTCATAACGACAACGTCGACACAACTCTCGTACTTTACGTCTCCTTTTTTTTTTTTTTTAAATAATTATTAATAAAAAGTTATAAGCAGAAGCAAACCAAGCAAAGTCAGCACGTCCGCGTTTATTAAAGTTACTTTTTCCCTTTGATCAGAAATAAATTTTTTTAAAGTCTCTTTCAGAATAATAACCTAGATTTATCTACAAAAAATATATAAATCAACGTTACAACGAACTCTCACAAAGCTCCAAAGCGTCCTGATCTATGTCAACTGCTAACACCTTTCTGGAACCCAGCAAATAACAACCTTCGTGGGATAAAGAGAAGCACAATAATAGAGATAAGACCAAAGGAATAAAAAGCACACCCAAGGTAAATATTCCGCAACCACAGCCCAAGTCAGCTAGCTCCAAACCTTGTATGTCTCCATTCAAGTCCATATAATGCAGGACCAAAGAGCCTTTATGACATATAATAGGCTCCATTAAAGATAAAGATTTTATTAATTTAAAGGTAAAACATAAGATGTTAGTTCGCTTTATATACATATATATAATGGAAGAAAGGAAGACTTTTTAAAAAAATTGATCATTCAATATTTTCAGTTATATAATGAAATATACAACAGAGACAATTCACACCCCGAAAAAACTATTAATTTACGTTAAAATATTGAAAGCCCACAGCATATCTCGGGCAAAACATAAACTTTAAAGTAAGGACATAAGTATTTGCTAAGATTCAATAAAGGTAGCTCTAGTCACTCTGATAACTTTGTTAAATCTTAAAATTTCCAAAAAATATATATATAACCTAGCTTTGCCGGGGTGGTATACTGCTCTAGAGTAATTATCGGTTTTGTAAAATTGGGTACTTGCTGTAATGCAGATTCTATTTCTTTAAGCTTCATAATTTTAAATTAACAGATAAAGTGTACTGCTCAAGGTAATGCCTCCAAAGACTGGTATGTTACAAAAAAATTCTCAGGCCAGGGAAACAATAAAAACCATACCGCAAGTAAATATCAGAGGTGTTCCCTTTTTATCGTAGGTTCAGTAGTTGTTCGTTAAATTTGAAACACCTAACAGCGCCACGGTTCATGTCCAAGATGCCCCTCGGTTAAGGGTGTCATAACGTGGCGGTGGTGAGACAGCCAGGTCTTAAAAAGGAAGGCTAGTGTAATGAAAGAGGTTTGGATTGTTCGCTCTTTACAGGTCGTAGTCTCGTAGGCGGGGTAATAACTGGCGAGTCCTCCACACTACTTATGAGGGCAAAACTTCGCTTTCACTTGGAGTGAGCCTTATAATTTACCTTGAGTTACTCTTGTTCTAAAACGGTGTTGACAAGCTTAAGGAATTGACTCTACTGCAAAAATTTAGAAAATATAAGCAGCCGAAGGGTAATTTCCTCACATAAAGCGAAAAAAAAACATTATACTAGCGGCGCTTGTAGTCACCCTCGAAACAACCTTTTATGCAAAATGCGTCTTTACAATAATAACGGGTTTTTAGGATGGGAGCACTGCGCAGGTTGCAAATTTGACGGTAATAAGGCCTGCACTACAAAATTGACAAGTTGGATAAACTGCTCCTACTAAAAGATGTAGACACTGCCGCGCAGTTCCGCCATGAACGGTGGGCAAGTGCAATGGAAGACTTGTATTCTAAAGCGACAGGTCGCTCTTTTAAACTTGCAGAGGCTACAATGCGATGTGAAGCCGGCAAAATGTGTTTAAACTTCCCGACAAGTTGAAGACCATCTCTTATTTCTATCGTTCCAACACTGCAACTTGCCTTTATTTACTTTGTATATTTGTTAGTAACCATTCTGCTTCGTAAAGTCGAGTCAAAAAAACAGAACTAATAGAGTATTTGAGAAGTATAATTATAGGAAAGAGATACAATTGATAAATAAAAACATTTAAATTAAAGCAGCGTAGGTAAGATATAGTCGCTCACTAATTAAGTTTTAAATTAACAGTTACGCTAGCAGTTTATTTTTCATCTTTCTACTGCTGCTTTTGAAGTTTTAAGTTTAGCCAAGGAAACACTTTTGTATGGAGTACTTATTCCTTTAAGTCACAGGACATGGGATGGTACAAGGTTCTTTTAAGCGCCCCCCATCCTGGTTCCAAAGCACGCCAGCAGTCCCTTAGTAGTTTGTCTACACTGGAAGGTGCGGATATTACGCTGAGTAATACGAAACAGATCCGAAATTAACTAGGTGGGAGGGGGGGGGGAAATGAGTAATGAGACTGTAATTATACCTTTACAAAAAATAAGTTTGAGTAGACGAAATTTTGTGTACGGTAATTAATACAGTGAATTACTTGATATTTATTAACTTTGATATAATCGACGGTGAACGAAACGAAATAACTCAGCTATCTTTAAACCCCCTATCAACAATTGCTTGCTTGAGCAAAGCCTACAGTGCATTGCACTATAGACTTTGTCCACTGACAAAAAGACGCGAGTGCTGGTATGGTAAGCAGGACTCCTTCAAAGGCAGATCTAAGTCAAGGAAGGCCTTGAGGTAAGCCACGTCTGACTTGTACTCCTGATACTGGTAAAAATTGCAACGAACAATACTTTAACGGTAAAAAAGAGTTCCTCAAGTTACAACTATCCAGTTACGATTCTGCTCAAAGTGTATTAGCTTCTTTAGCTAGACTGACCTCGCGCGAGTAGCACGCCTCCTGTTGGTGGTGCAATAAAAATACCTCGCGTGCTATTAGAGCTGTGCTATGTAATAGCAGTTCAAGAAAAAGCTAATCACCATAACATGCTTTATGCCAAAATCTATAATTGCAATTGACACAGTTTCTAGGATGGTAGTGCATTACTTTGTATTAACTTTCAAAGTACTACTATTTGATATCAACTTTTTTAGCTCTAAAGGTCACACGCAAACATCATCTTTAGTAATAACAAAAAAACTTTTTTTCCCCAAAAATAACGTGCAGATAACAACTCAACAGTTTTCCTCCCGGCAAGCAAGAAGATAAAGTACTGCAACAAACTATATATATGCCTTCTGGTTTAAGGCTCGCTGAAAGCTTAGTAACAAAGCAAAACAACTTTTTAAGGCGCTATTAATAACAATAGAAGAAATGATTAACCAAATAACGCGAGCTTTAACGCATATTCGTGGTAAAAAATTTTTTTTGTACTTACATATATGAAACAATAATAACGTTGTGTAAAAATCTCCTTTAGTTAAGAGCTTAAAGATTTTTAATCTCCAAGGCACCCAAAGCTTTTACTTATTTTCAAAATAATTAACACTAATCCATGTTCGAAGTAGTGAATTTCATATAAGCCTTTGAATATACTTTTTTAGTTATTCCTTTTATTGGCCACACCCGCCGCATCATCCAGGAGAATGAAAAGATCCAATTAGAAGCATATAAGATTGAGGTTGATTACAAAAAGCAGCACAATTCAGTGATAAGTGATCAAAAAGGGAAAATTAAACTAAATAAACAAATAACTGTTGCAATTGCCAGATGCTTAATAAAAATGAGAACAATTTTAAGCAGTGACGTGTGAAACTGCCCTGATTTCGCAAACTATTCCCGCGCAAAAACGGCAGTTGTAAACCGTCTTGCGTTCTACTCGAGTTTGCCAGTAGTAATAACATAACACATACTAGAGTACCTGCCTCCGACGCAAAAATTCTATATGAAGACCCTAAAAATAAAAAAAATTAATATAATAACTTTGTAATCAACAGTAAGGAACAAGAATATATAAGAAAATATAAAGATGTAAGATTCAGAATGATAGCTTTCAACAAAACATTATTATGATATATGCTTGTCAAAATAAGGCACATCATGATATTGCAAATATTATAACCAAAACCAGTTAAATCGTAATAACTTGAAAAATCTAGGTACAAGACATTTTGTAGGGCTTATATACGAACTCAAAATAAAAGTGCAAAAGAATTAACCACCTCCCAAAACTTAAGACGTTCAGTATAGGAGCAGAGAGTAAGCAGTTCGGAGATGAAGGGAAAATGGGCGGGGTAAAAAACAAAGTTTATCGGTATATTACAGTCCAACCGAAGGATCTTTACCAATCACTCTAGTTAATATATTTTATAAACCAAAAAAACTTAGACTTTTGAAAAGTTTCATGTGGCCATAACTCAGTAACAGACCGAGCAAAAGACAAGGGCAAGGCCGCCCAGAAAAAAGTTAGCGAGAGAGTGGAAGTGGGAGACTGTTTTATACTGATGCCTTCAGTCACGAGTTACATGAAATGGCGTGCCGTAACTTGATAGTAAACTAAAATAGCGTGGGTGGAGTAATACTTTAGTTCTGTGGAACTGTCATTTGTATGTAATAGGAGGAATTTAGTTCTTTATTTGTTGATTAAAGAATCAGGATGAATTTTTGGTGTTTGGTCTTATTACAGTGATTAAAAATATTTCAGAACAAGAAAATGTTCGGGCGGAGACCTCTAGAAATTAGACAATAAAATTCTCACACTTCTTTTCCATCTCCTATTTTAAAACGCATAATTAGCTGAAGACTATACTAAACAACTTGATACCCGTACAATTTCCACATAATTTTGAAGACAAAGACCTAGACTCTTAGAACACTGAAAAGAGGGGCACGTTTTTTTCCACCTTTAATAATGTATTAATTACTTTAACTTGACACACACTAATTTAGCCTATACTATTAAAAAAACTTCCCTTAGTCAACCAAGCTTTTGTTAATTAATAAATTAAAAGTCTTTTATACTAGTCTAAGTAAAGGTTTATAAGAGTTGCGTTATAGGACAAAACACTACGGATGAAAAGATCTTCGCACACCACTATATTTACCTTAAGAAAGTTGTTCGTAGGAAGAGCATTAAAATGAGGGAAAAAAACATTTATTTTGTTCTTTTTCCATTACCCGGAGTTGAGATTTCGGTGTACAATTACTTTATTTATTTATTAATAGCAGTTCATGGTACTCGAAAGAAGTTAAAGACCGAATATCGAGCTCTCAAACAGGAGTGATCGCAATTATAATACAAATAGCACTCAGGGTGTCATTATTTTTTTACATTAACAAAAAAAACTAGCGGTGCCTGGTGAGCCTGTCGTAAAGAACCACAGCATGTCGCTGGAAGGCAATGTTTAAAAGGACCAGCTGAAGGTCCCGGTGAAGAGCATCATTTCGCAGGGAAAGCTTACGCTACCGCAAAGTAAAGGATAAAGCGCATTGGTTGCTGCCTTGACCTGCGTCACTATACAGCCCACGTGAGTCCGCCAGGAACATTTGTTGTCAATGATGATTCCCAATTATTTCGCTGGAGGACACCATAGAATCTTCACACCATTAAAAGTTATGGGTACCAATATAGGGACTTATTTCTTTAAAATTAATGTAGTCTTGTTCTTCATCGCATTTATAGTAACCTTCCAATCACGGCACCAGATAGTAAGGGCGTCAAGGTTGCGCTGTGGATGCTCGCATAGCTAAGCGGAAGACTTCGAAGTGGAATTTACGGTCGTATCATCAGCGTAGAGGGCAATTCGTGTGCGTGAGCCGGACGGCAAGGGCACCTCGCATATGTAATCTGCTAAATAAAAGGGGCGAGAGAAGAGAGCCCTGAGGGATACCTGCTAAAAAAGAGATCAAAGAGGCGACCGGGAATCTTACGCGCACACTGAAGACGCGACCATTCAAATATGATTCCAGCACGTTATAAAGGCCACGAGGGACGAATAAGGAACGCAGTTTGTGCAGCAAACCTTAATGCCAAACGATCATATGGCCTTTCAACGTCAAGAAAGACATCTTGTCGCCTTCTTATGGTTAAAAGCGCGTGTGGTCCGTTCAATTAAGCGGAGGAGCTGCTTGGTCGGTGGGTACCCTTCCTGAAATCCCAATTGAAATTCCGGTAAAGCGTTCCGAGCGTCAACGACCTCTTTAAGGTGGCTGATAATTACTTTAGTCTCTTATATCTCTATTTAAATAAAATGCAGCAACCTGACTAGCAGCAATAGAGGCCTGTGTCGCCAAGAAACCTTAGAGCTGCTGCCTGGTGCGCCGACACCACTTTGGGCGGTTTTATAACCCATTACCACCCCGCAAGCCTAAATGGCTGAACTTAAGACAATATTAACTCGTTATTTTTTTAATCTTCAAAGCAGTCATTATTTTATCTTCTATTAGACATCTAATCAAATATGATTTAAAAGTCGATCTAAATATAGTAGATTTATATATATATATACATTCGCCTTAACAAATTTAACAGAGAGGTTATCTACTATTCTATTTTTGGTTTTTTTTTTCTTGGTACCATTTTTGTTCCCCTTTTTGCTTTATTTTCACAAATATATATACGAGTTTTTTAATTTTTTTTTTTTTTTGTTTTATAAGTATACAATGTGGACATTCGTGACACAACCTCTCGTAAGAAAAGCATACTCAGTTTAAAGCGGCTTACACCGTAGTGGTCGCTCAAGTATAGCATTTGTAATAACCCCGCGGTGAGGGTGGCTTGGCCATAACTTTAAATGCTACACTTCGGCGCACCTGTGCGTCAAGAGTTTTAAGAAATACTTAATTTTCCTTAATATCCAAACAATAAACCTCAGGGTTCGATAATTAAAGTTTTGTTTTAAAGGAACTTAAAGTCAGCCTATGAAATTAGAATGATCTAAGGCAGACATAAGGGGCACACACTATAACTTTCGCGCAACTCTTTATTTAATTGAAGCTACTTTATATTCTCCAAAACTTATGAAAATTTATGACCAAGCAAATAAAGTATATTGTATAAGATCTATTGGAATGCTGATAGACAAAAAGAAACTTAAACTTTCTCATTTTAGAGAAAATTTAGCGTTGGGGCTAAAATAAATTTCGCACTTTTTAGTTTGAAGACATTTTAGGACTACATGATACCTTTAACCCACGGATTAGAATTACGTATAGTCGAATAAGTGGCCCCATAGTATAAATAAATAATAATAATTCAACCTTTTATGTTTACAAGAACAGTTTAAACATAGCCCAGGGGACGTTGTTACTTCAGCACTTTGAGATCCTTAAAAAATGTTAGACATCCATACGTTTTATGGGCATAAAACGGTTATTATGAATGGAGATTTAATCTGTTAGAGCAACCTTTGGAAGAGTTGAATGCAGAACGCTATCTAATATTTTCGACTGTTAACTCACCTAAAAGTTTTCGACAGTGTTACACGTTAAATAAAAGCTTACTATACTTGAAGAACTTTCTTCGACATAATTTAGTTATTTTTAAGGTGGGCTCTCAAAAGAATATTTTCTTTAAGAGCTATTTTTAACACAGAATGTATGATTTTAAAAAAAATCTTTTCCAAAACTTAAGTATAAATGTGAAATTAAATTCTTTGTAACTACTTAACGAAACAAAAACACGTCTTATAGCCACATACAGGTATACCATCTCTAAGAGTACTGCCCACCAGCTACATCACAATGCGTTAGTCATAGCAGAAGAACGCTGATCACAGTCTGGAATATCAATGTACCGGAGAGATTCAATAATAGCCAAGAAAAAATTAACCGAGTGAAAAGTTCCAAATTAGATAATTACGGTATGCGAACTTTATTGGTCCAGAAATGTATATTTTAACCCTTCAAATTTTGTGACAAAATAGTTAAAAAAAAGAATTCATTGACCAAGATCTGAGAGCTCATAGCAATCTTCTTGTTAATAAAATAACCTTTAATAGCTTGAATGTACTTTTTACCTATTTTAAATAGTGATATAAGCCGTGAACCATTGTCGACAAGAACAACAGAGAATTTGACTTCGTTTCTTCATTCTCTCACCTATTTACGTGGGCCAACATTTCATCAGTTTACGTATTAAATACATTTCTTTTAGGGCTAGGGTAAAATATTGAGTTCCAGAAGATATATATTTAAATGTATAAGAAAAGAAAGGGGACGAAAAAGAAGATCCGTTCATACTTTTATAAATATACAAATTAAACTTCATTAAAGGCAACCAAACGGTTCAAATAATCACATAATGTTTGTCAACTCGATTTAAGCATTAAGAAAAAGTTTTTTTAACTAAATATTTCACTTTTAATTTAATTAAGGAAAATTAACAAAATACCTTATCCAGTAGATTTTTAAAGGTCCTATGGTCGCCCCAGTTTAATTCCTTGGTTATCTGCATAAGCTATTTAAAGTATTATGTGAGTGCGCACGAGGACTGGTTGAAACTTTGAGTATCAGTAACATCACAGGAGCAAGGCTCCACATCTCGTTTCCACTATTTAAATGCAACTACACCAAGTTTGACTCAAGCAAAGAGGCTTCCATGCTTGAAAGCTGCAGGAACTAAACATGGGTCATATTGACTTGAAATAGAGCTAGGCTACCGAGTAATTATAGTTAGATAACAGGGTGGCCAATAGTTAGTAGCAGAAAGAAAGGTTGACGGTTTTTGGGGTGTGCTAGTACCAGGACATCTCTAAACCAGGACGGTTTTTTTTGTATAACGTGTAAGAAACCTTCGTCCATAACAAAATAGAATTTCTAAGACCTTTGTCTTGTACTAAAGAACCCGCCGTAACACCGTCGTTTTTCTTGTTTAATGTTATGTTACAGAACTTTTTCTTTCAGCTACATTATTTCTGCTTGCCAAAAAATATTAATAAAGACGTTATACTTTTGGAATCTACAAACGCTATTTTTTCCTTTTTTTTCAGTAGTAGATATTGAGAGGAGAAAGACGGCCATCAGAAGTTTATTAGATCGACGTTATAGAAGTAAATAAAATATTTTTAAGTATTATCGCTGCGCAGTCAGTATTTATATTTTGCTAGCGTATATTTATTTAAATAAAAAAAATTTTCCTCCTTACAAAGCACTGAAAATCAGTTATGTTTAGTTCGTTTTAATAATAAAGGGCCGAAGGGTGTACTTTACAAAAAAAGAGTGTAGTTGGTTCTAAGAAAACCAAATTTTTTAAGACCCGTTGACAGCGATATTTCACAAGTTAGACACCAAACTTTGCCATCTTTTTAAAGTGCAAAGCGTGGGGGCGATTCTGGCAACCGAGCGCCTCTATTATCCTGAAATCGAGTTGGTGAGGCGTCCCGGCCGATATATTATGCTTTTCGAGCAAGTCAAGTAGCTCGTGTTTCGGGCTCAAGGTGTCCAAGCAATCCGCCTGCTCGCCACTCCTCAGAAGGGAGAGCGGATGAAGCAGAAAAGCGGCCCTCCGGCTTGCAACGACCTGAGTCAATAACCTACTTAAAAAATCTACGATACGGCTTAGCCACACGCAAACAACCTTCGCAGCGCTTCGCGAAGCAATTTCATTGTGGTAAGCTCGAATAGCCTCTTGAATAATAACAACAGTGGCTTTTTCTTCCTCATTTTGATATTTATACATATTATGAAGCAAGTATTCGCCAAAGGAAACAGCGTCTAATAATGCTTGATTTGCACCTTCAAAAGTGTCAAAGCTTAACTAGACTCAACTTTATATATTTCCAAAGAAGGCTACCCTGCCCTTTGAACGGAGTCATTGGATGTGCAGCATCCCCTAAAAAGTTATAATGTTAAACAATAGCTAAACAAAAATATATAACGTATAATTTCTACCTTCCCAATAAACTTAGTAGATAAAAGTTTTAATATGCACAATAATAGTTTTGTAATTATAGTAGTATATGACCAAAAAAAACGACTT